TGCTGACTACATTCTACATCCGTTTTCAGCCTCTGAATATCTGGGAGTCACAAGTGGGGGAAATGCTGTTGCAGTCGGGTCCTGGTTGGCCACTGTAAGAAGGGAGTGCTGGACTAGATGGGCCATTGGCCTGATCCAGCAGCTCTCTTCATAAGCTCTGATGATTTGATGACGCTATGCATGCAATATTTTCTGCTTTAATGCATTAGGTAAAGGGTAAAGGGACCCCTGACCCATTAGGTCCAGTCGTGGCCGACTCTGGGGTTGCGGCGCTCATCTCGCTTTATTGGCCGAGGGAGCTGGCATACAGCTTCCGGGTCATGTGGCCAGCATGACTAAGCCACTTCTGGCAAACCAGAGCAGCGCACGGAAACGCTGTTTACCTTCCCGCCGGAGCGGTACCTATTTATCTACTTGCATTTTTGGCATGCTTTTGAACTGCTAGGCAGGAGCTGGGACAGAGTAATGGAAGCTCACCCCATCGTGGGGATTTGAACCGCCGACCTTCTGATCGGCAAGCCCTAGGCTCTGTGGTTTAACCCACAGCGCCACCCGCATCCCTTTAATGCATTACTGAGCCTATAAAGAAAGAAGCAAGCAGAAAACCACACAAATAAATAAATATATAAATAAATAACTCACAGCTTTTTATGGTGGAGATGAAAAGGCAGTGATGAGGAAAGAGTCACTGGCTGAATTTCAAGAACACACACACACACACACACACACACACACACACACACAAACTGCATTTTTCTTTTGAAAAAAAGGTTTAGGGGTACTCTCATTTTCCTACTTATATTGAAATACTGCCCCTCAGTGAAGCCAAACTTAGATTCACAAAATGTTTAGGGGTATGCGTACCCCTGCACCCCACCAGAAAAAAACACTGGACCCCTGGACGGTTAAGTCCAGTCAAAGGCGACTATGGGGTTGCTGCGCTCATCTCACTTTTCAGGCCAAGAGAGCCGATGTTTGTCCACAGACAGCTTTCCAGGTCACATGGACAGCATGACTAAACCGCTTCTGGTGCAATGGGACACCGTGATGGAAACCAGAGTGCACGGAAACACCGTTTACCTTACAGTCACAGCGGTACCTATTTATCTACTGGCACAGCGTGCTTTCGAACTGCTAGGTTGGCAGGGGCTGGGACAGAGCAACGGGAGCTCACCCCGTTGCGGGGATTCAAACCACTGATCTTCTGATGGCAAGCCCAAGTGCCTCAGTGGTTTAGACCACAGCGCCACCTGCGTTCACTCTATATGGCTGCTTGAAATGGTGTGTGTGTGTGTGTGTGTGTGTGTGTGGTCTTCCACTTGGCCTTTCTCTGCCCCCATTTTAGAGAAGCTGGGGTTTTTTCTTTCCCTTTTCTCACTTCTGCTTATATTTATTGTGCCTGAACGAAACTGGTCTTGTTCCAGCAGAGTCCTGTCAGATCGTAGCTACAGTCAGAAGCTGAGGACCTGAGGGAGCTGATCCACTTGCTACAAGGGGCTTTGTGGTTTCCTTTTGGGATTTTTTTGCATATATTGGGCTTATTTTAACTGTGTAACAGGCCTTGGAACTATTTGGTGAAGGGTGGGCTTTCAATGGACCCCAGTGGGGGGAGGGTCCCATTGTAGTTGTTGGGACAGGGCAGTTGCAGGATCAGAAGGCAGTACTACAAGATCAGTGCAGTGCGATTACACCTGTGGAGCCAATACAGGTCTCCTACATATATAATATTAAGGTGATTTCAATTAAAAGAAACAAAGCAATACAGAAAAAAAGAAGGAATGAGGGGGAAACAATATACAATATTCCCATATATTCTTATATAAATTGGTATAGTGTTAATGTCCTAATGTTTATGTAAATGTTAATAGCCTACTACATTTTGTATAAACTCCTTCCAAATGTTATCGTATTTATCCATAGTGTAAGCAGCCAGTTCATAAATTGTGTGTGATGTCATATAATCAGTCCATTGATTGAAGGGCATCATGGCTTTATTTTTCCAGTTCCTCAATATCAATCTCTTGGCCACCATTAGGGCACGGAAACTCCATTTCCATTGTCCCGTTGATAATTTCCACACTGCAGGTATATTGTTCAATAAAATTTTCTCCACTGAAATATTTAACTTTTTCCTCCACAGTCATAGTTGCACAGTCTATCCAGCACTTTATCCCAGAACATGTTAAGTACAGAACATTGTACAAACATACCGCAGATTCCGGCATATAAGGCGACTTTTTAACCCCGGAAAAGAGGTTAAAAAGTCGGAGGTCGTCTTATACGGCGGGTATGGGCGGTGCGGAGCAGACCCCGCCCACTGATGCTGCTGCGGCAGCTCCGAAGCAGCAGCAGCCAGTGGCGGGCTCCGCACCGGGCGGCTTTCTCCTGGCGCGGAGCTGCCCAGCGTATTAGGCGACTGGGCTTATAAGACGAACCCCCAAACTGAAGCTGCCAATTTGGGGGGTCGTCTAATACGCCCAGTCGCCTAATACACCGGAATCTACGGTATGTTTCAAAGAGGCATTGTCCTTGCCACATCTCCAGTGCTGAGCTATCTTAGCTAACCCATTGTTATACAACCGTAAAGGAGTCCAATAAACTACATATTATTTTCTATTGTATTAGTCTTAATTTTAAATCTAATGACACCTCCCGGGTATTGAAGCTGAAACATTTCCCCACTGTCAATATAGCTCTCCTGCATGTAAATTTGCTCCATGATAACTGTACCACTTTCTCACCCTTCTCCCTTCCGGTAAACCACAGAAATTCCAGTGCTAGGAAGTCAGGTAAGCACTGCCACCCCACCAACGACAATTGGGAGGGTCTCAATCTTTATCCCTTTTAACAAATGCATGGTAGAGAGAAATTCAGTTCACGAACCTTGCACAGTTACTGTATTTCCATGGTGGTGGCCTTGCATTTTCTCCCTCTACTTCGACAATCGTTGCTGACCCTAGCCTAGTGGCGGCATTTAATAATATATCCTTTATATCCTGCAAACGCCAGTTTTATTCTGCTTTATTCTAGACCACACCTAGAGTCCTGCGTCAAGTTCTGAGTGCCACAATTTAAGAAGGATATTGACAAGTTGGAATGTGTGCAGAGGAGGGCAACCAAGATGGTCAAAGGGTCTGGAAACCAAACCTTATGAAGAACGGTTGAAGGAGCTGGGTGTGTTTGGCCTGAAAAGGGGAAGATATGATAGCCATTTTCAAATATCTAATGGGGTGACACAAGGAGGATGGAGCAAGCTTATTTTTTTCCTGCTCCTGAAGGTAGGCCACAAACCATTCGCTTCAAGTTACAAGAGAGGCAATTCTGACTAAACATCAGGAAGAACTGTCTGACAGTAAGAGCTTTTCGAGAGTGGAGCAGACTCCCTCAGGAGGTTGTGGATTCTCCTTCCTTGGAGGTTTTTAAGCAGAGGTTGAATGGTCATCTGTCATGGCTCATAGAATCAAAGCATTGTGGAATTGGAAGGTATTTTATGAGATTTATGCACTGCCAGGGGTTTGACTGGATGACCCTTGGAGTCCCTTCCAACTCTACAACTCTATGATTCTATTATTCTATTTATATCCTCCCTTTTTCCAAGATTGGGACTCAAGGTGGCTTACACAGATTAAAAGGACGCTGATAAAGAAAACATAGAAAAGAGCAATAGTCAAGCTTGCAAAAATCTATCACTTGCCTGATAATAAATGTTGGAAATGTAAAGAAACTGAAGGTACATTCTTTCACCTTTGGTGGATGTGCCCAAGGATTAAGGTTTTCTGGGAGATGATTTACAATGAATTAAAAAAGGTATTTAAATATACCTTTCTGAAGAAACCAGAGGCCTTTCTCCTGGGCATAGTCGGCCAATCGGTGCCAAAGAAGGACAGAACTTTTTTTATGTATGCTACAACAGCAGCAAGAATACTCATTGCAAAGTATTGGAAGACACAAGATCTACCCACTCTGGAAGAATGGCAGATGAAGGTGATTGACTACATGGAATTGGCAGAAATGACTGGCAGAATCCGAGACCAGGGAGAAGAGTCGGTGAAAGAAGACTGGAAGAAATTTAAAGACTATTTACAGAAATATTGTAAAATTAAGGAATTTTAGAAGGATGTTGGATAGAAACTAAGTGGTTTCCAGCTGTAATGCTTTAAGAGAAATGAAAAAAGGTTTACAAATGGGTAAAAACGTAATGGTAAGGATTTGCTGAACTAACAAACTGAACTGGAATACAAAAAAGGGAGGTACGAGGAGGTCCGAGGAAATAAGTGTAAGCAAGATAGGTTATGGAAAATTAACGTCTTTTTAACTGTTTTTATTTGTATGTTTATTTCTATTTTTCATTTCTTTGCTATACAGTGGTGCCTCGCAAGGCGAAAAGAATCCGTTCTGGGAGTCTCTTCGTCTAGCGGTTTTTTCGTCTTGCGAAGCAAGCCCATTGACGGATTAGCGGATTAGCGCTATTAGCGCTATTAGCGGCTTTTAGCGGCTTTTAGCGGCTTTAGCAGCTTATCAGCTTATCGGATAAGCAGATAAGCGGCTTAGCGACTTAGAAAAAGAGGGGGAAAGGAAAAAACCCCAGGAACTCGCAAGACATTTTCGTCTTGCGAAGCAAGCCCATAGCAGATTCGTTTTGCGAGGCACCTCCAAAACGGAAAACTCTTTCGTCTAGCGAGTTTTCCGTCTTGCGAGGCATTCGTCTTGCGGGGCACCACTGTATTTTAAAAACTTTATTCTTTTTTCTGTATTTTGTATTTGCTTATATTTTTACTTTTTGCTTAATTTTTGTATTCCTTGAAACTTTAATAAATATTATTTTTTTAAAAAAAGAAAAGAGCAATAGTTTAAAAGTGATTAAATTATTATAGAATTTAAACAATACAAAAACATATTAATTAAAACACAGACTGAGCTTTTTAGCAGGACTGTGCTTTTCAACTTTCCCTACTCACCTTTAAATAAAGAAACAGGACTTACAGAACTGAGACTGAGAGCCATTTTAAGTAGTGAGGAAAAATACCTCTGTATTTATGTGGAGTGGCATTCCCTCCTGACAGTAAAACTGAAAAACTGCTGTGTCCTGCCTCTCTACCCATTTAAGAAGCCAGGTGCAGGTTTCCTCTGAGACACCCTCTGCTGGTAAACAATCCGTTCTTGGTTTCCTCTCCCTTCAGTCCTTTGGTTCCAGCAGCCAAAAATGGATTTTGCTTTTGATTTATGTCTACAGTGGAAGGTACTCTACCCTCTGTCAGCTCCATCATATAATCTAAACTGTGCATTGTTGGGGCGCTAATGCAAACATGAAATAATATACAGCATGTCATGCTTGATTCATCTTATATGACCCTCACTTGTATTGAATGGAAAATATCAACATGCACTGTAAAAACTGAAGTCAAATCACTGGTACGTTGGTTACTCGCCGACGGAACGCTGGAAGAAAGAGAATAATGAGAATTAGAACCATTCCAAATGCTCAGGCCCAATCTTGGTCTCAGCTCCTTTATTCTGTTTTTGTCTCCTGTTCTATCTTAGGAGCTATGGGGCACCAGGAGCAGTTTTAAAGAGACCCTGTGTTTTTAGTTATTGCGCGCCTCTTAAGAGTCATGTATCTATGTGTCTCGATTGGGATATTCTTGTTTTTATTATGTATTTTGTGCTTTTATATTGTGATTTTATAATTTGAACCACACTGAGACCTGCGGGTATAGGGCGGTATAAAAGTTGTTGTTGTTGTTGTTGTTACACTGGCTACCACTTAGTTTCCATGCTCACAGTGGTGGTTTTGACCTATAAAGCCTTACGTAGCTCAGGTCTGTAATATTTTTATTTATTTGGACTACTGCTTGGACTACTGCAATGAGCTCTAAGTGGGGCTACCTTTGAAGTTGACCACTGCAACTAATCCAGAATGTGGCAGCTAGACTGGTGACTGGGAGTGGCCGCCAAGACCATATAACACCAGTCCTGAAAGACCTACCTTAGCTCCCAGTACATTTCCGAACACAATTCAAAGTGTTGGTGCTGACCTTTAAAGCCCTAAACAGCCTCGGCCCAGTATACCTGAAGGAGCGTATCCACCCCCATCTTTCAGCCCAGACCCTGAGGTCCAGCTCCGAGGGCCTTCTGGAGGGTCCCTCATTGCGAGAAGTGAAGTTACAGGGAACCAGGCAGAGGGCCTTCTTGGTGGTGGCGCCCGCCTGTGGAATGCCCGCCCATCAGATGTCAAAGAAATAGACAACTACCTGACTTTTAGAAAACATCTGAAGGCAGCCCTGTTTAGGGAAGTTTTTAATGTTTGATATTTTATTGTGTTTTTAATATATTCTGTTGGGAGCCACCCAGAGTGGCTGGAGAAACCCAGGCAGATGAGCAAGGTATAAAAAATAATAATAAATATTTATTTATTATTACATTTATATACCACCTTTATCTTCCAAGAATCTCAAGGTGGTGTACATGGTTTTCCTCCTCACCCCCACCTCCATTTCATCTCCACAAAAATCCAGCGAGGTAGGTTTGGCTAAGAGATGGTGCCTGGTCTGAGGTCACTCAGCTTCATGGCTGAGTGGGAATTCTAACCCTGCTCTCCCAGGTAGTAATCCAACACTCTAACCATTACCTCAATGACCACCTCTCCCCATATGGGGAGACCTTACTGGTTTCATCCATCTTCCTTACACAAGAAGCTGCCTTTTTCGGTGGTGCCCCTCTGTCACCTGTGGAATGCTCTCCCCAGTGAAACATGCTTGGCACCACCACCATCCATGTTAAGGTTCCACGCTAATACAGTGGTTCCTCGGGTTACAGACGCTTCAGGTTACAGATGCTTCAGGTTACAGACTCCGCTAACCCAGAAATCGTACCTCGGCTTAAGACCTTTGCTTCAGGATGAGAACAGAATTGCGCAGCAGCAGTGGGAGGCCCCATTAGCTAAAGTAGTGTCTCAGGTTAAGAACAGTTTCAGGTTAAGAACGGACCTCCAGAACGAATTAAGTTCTTAACCCAAGGTACCACTGTACCTTTTTTATTCAGTTTGGGAGTTACAGTGAACTGTGACGTGGGAGTGACGCGGTGGCTTGTGTGCCGCAGGCTCCATACTGCCCCAAACGGTCCACCCGCTGCCTCCCCCCCAGCTGTAGGGCGGCTGAGTGGGAGGAGGCAGGCAGACTCCTTGGAGGCCCAACGGAGCATCCTGCCTCAACTCAGGGCAGGGTGCGCCGCCCCAGGCCCTCTATCAGCTTGCTCCGCCGCTGCTCCCAGGGTGGGCCACAACAATGTTAGAAACAAAAACAATCGCAGCTAGAGTGAGTCATGTGGTGGAGCTAATCTTTTAGTGGGGTAGGTAGAACTTGTGCATCTTATTACATTACTGGAGAAGCATTTTAGGTATTTTCTATGGCACACTGTTTTGAGTTTTCTGGTTTGTAATTGTCGTTTTTGCTGTTTACATTTCATCTTGATCACTTTTTAGTATAGACTATCAAATGTTATCAGTGATGATGATGATATAGTAATGGTTAAAAACCACCTCTATCTGATCTCTGGGGAAAGAACACAACCCCAGAATCTCTGGTTCCAGAATATATTACTCACATAAGAAGGAGTAAAGGATGCCCCCTGAAATGGCAAGTGCAGCAATGACCCCGAAAACGATCCCAGAAATTATCCCACTGCTCAGCTCCATCTTGTCATTCTGTGGTGATTTGGTCACTGCACCTTGGATAATGATGGCGACATTTTATTACATTTCTATATCAGACACCTGGCCGAGTTTTCTGGGCAGTTGGCGTAAACAAGGAATTGCAAAATAACACCCACACGAAAACCAGAATAAAATCCCTCGAAAATAAAAGAAAAAGGCCAGGCAAAAATAAAGAAACTCAGACCCCAGCTAAAATCAGCATCAAACACAAGAACAAAAAGCAACTCAAACAGGAGTGGGGAACCTTAGGCCCAGAGCTTCTCTTTCTAGCCTTTTGGATGCTCACCAGATCACAATTCTCACCAGGCCTTGTTCTGCTTTTGCCTGGCTGAACTGTCATAATATGGCCCTGAAGAGCGGTGTGTGTGTGTGTACAAAGAAAATTATAGTGGTTGCCTCAGCCGCTTTTGCCTGTGACTATGCGCATCATTGGCATAGGGAACTTAGTACAGAACCTGAAGCACCCAATGTGATCGCATCGCTTCCTCTGTCAACCTGAAACTTTGCAACCAGCTTCAGCACTGCCTGTCTCATCCAGCGCTTCTGTTTCTATTGAAAGGCAGCTTTTAAGGAAATCGGCACATCTCAGCAAGCAACTTCACTCATGTAAAGAGTGCCAGAGGGAGTGTGTCAGTCCACAATGATTTCGTGGTTGATTAACTGAAGGCATATGTCAAGGTGATCACTGGAAGCAAAAGGGAAATTGTAGCCCTGACTCCTTGTTTACTTTGGCCCCACCACCCAATTTCCCTTTTTGGCTTTCCCCACTTTTAGCAAGTGCCTTCAGAAGGTCTGCTATAAGGCGATATCAGGATTGTGAAGAGGGCGGCATCCTTTAAGAGTGATTTATTTATTTATTGTATAAAGTGTCTCTTGCATGGGCTGAATAGTCTAGATGCATGCCCGGGGGAGAGAGGGGCAGATTTAGACTCCCTCAGAGCCAACTCCATAGATTTTCCTTGCCCATGACCAACGGTCTTCTGGAAAGGTTCCCAGGAGAAAGGGGCAGGCAAGAGACCATCTCAATACCTGCTGCTGCTGGACACTTCCTCCCAAACAGAGCCATCCACCATCAACTGCCCTGTGGGAAGGATCCCAGGAGAAAGGTGAAGATAGCTCAGGTGCTGACCACGCCAAGGTTGCAGGTTCGATCCCCATAAGGGACAACTGCATATTCCTGCATTGCGGGGAGTTGGACTAGATGATCCTCAGGGTCCCTTCCAACTCTATGGAATAAATGTGGGTCCTGCTCCAGCTGCTCTTTCCCTTCCCCTCCACAGGATCCTGTCAGAAGAATCCCAGGAGAGGATGGGTGTGACGTTAACATTTGAGAGTGCTGGAGGTGAAATATTTAAACAGGTTACCCAAACAGGACCAGGGGGGTGGAGTCAGAGGGACTATAAAACCAGCTCTTGGAGGGGCAAAGGGAGGAGTCCGTTGGGAGTTGGGTGGTTGGTTGGAGTGGGAGTGAATTGGGATAGAGTTGTGGGTAGGTTGATTTAGTGTAGCAAAATAGGCTGAGTCAGGAATAGTTAGGGGCTAGGAAGACAAATAAATATCTGAGAGGTGGTTTAGTGAGTGAGAACAGGTAGCGGAAGTTATAGGTCTGGATAGGCACCCCATGAATGTAATTGACCGATACTGTTTATGAAACCACATGCAATAAATAAACAAAAGTTTATGTTCCAATTTGCACCAGGTAGGGCCTGGGTGGAGGCAGCGAGAAATAAAGTGGTGGCACAGGGATCAATAAAAGGTGAAACGTCCGGGGACCCTGTGTGATCACCACAATGGGACATAGGCAAAGACCATCTCAGAGCTTGCTCCAGCAGAACCATCCCCTCTTCACACACAACTTTTGTGCCATCAACTGCCCTGCCTCAGAGATCTCAAAAACTTTTAAAATATATTGATATTGTTTCCTTTTGTGGGTGGGGTTAACTTTGGAAGCATTTGTATCCTGAAAGCTGGTATATAAAAATTTGCATTCAGATAAACACAATTAAAAATGATATGCAATCCTTGGGCTTTCTCCTGGAGATGTGTAAATGTTAGCAGACCATGCATGAGACTTAAAGGTGAAGTGGGAAGAAATGCTTACCGGTACTTGTCTCGTTGAGCTCAGAGGAGACCTTGATTGTGACCGCCCCATATTTATTTGCTCCGGAGCAGGTGATTAAAGACTTTTTCTGGCCATCTAAGTCTCCTGGCCAGCTCAGGGTGCTGGTAACCGTATTGCCCTCAACCCAGGAGAAGAGTTTCATGGCCTCTGATCTCACAGTCTCATTTACAAGCTTCCCGTCCACATGCCATTCAATCTTGGATGGAGGCCAGGAGTGGATAGAACAGAAGCATAAGTGTCCTTTCTTCTCGTACTGGCACGTCGTGCTCCCCATGGTGGTGGTGGCCTCAGGGCGATCTGGGAAAAGATTTTGGAAAGCCAGGGTGAATGAATCCAATCCTGGGCTATTAACTTACCTGGCGTAGCTACGACAGAGCATGAGAGGCTTCTGGGATGCAGAAGGCGAGCCACAGCAGTAAACTCTGTCGTATGCAGAGGTCACACCTGGAATGGGGTAGCTGCATCCCAAAATGACCTGGCCAAGCATTAGGAGAAATCGGAGCTGTAGTCCATATCTTCAGGCATGGGGTGTAGGCTCTTGCCACTGGCTTGGAGTAAAGATTGATGGGTCTTCTAGTTCAGACAGCTCTGCTCACATATGTAGAGCCAGAACAAAGGCCAGTTGGGTGGTGGAGGGCAAGTGTGGTGCCAGCATATAAAAGGAACATAGAGGGTACCTTTTATCATATGCAGTGGTTATGTAAGATAACAAAATCATTTTGGGAAATGATATATAATGAACTGGAAAAAATGTTTAAAATAACTTTTGTCAAAACAAAAAAACCTGTAGCCTTTGTTTTTAGGAATTATAGGTACTGAGATTCCAAAAGATCAGAAAAGACTTTTTATGTACACAACAGCTGCACGAATGTTATTAACTCAAAGATGGAAAGAAGCAACAATCTCGACAAAGGAAGAATGGCAAGCCAAACTGCTGGACTTTGCCGAAATGACAAAACTGACTGGGAGACTGAGGAATCAAGAAGATAAGGACTTTAAAAAAGAGTGGGGAAATTTTATAATTTACCTAAGAGACCATTGTAAGCAAATCCAGACATTAGCTGGACTTCAAGAATCACTTGTAAAGCAATGAGGTTTATGTATAATTTAGGGAAATGAAAGTCATGGAGAATATAATGATATGTAGATGGTTGTTTTTTTTTAATAAAAAAACTGTTATTAGGACCCATGAAAGGGATGGGGAAGGGGGAGCCACAAGATACAGAGAAATGACTATACAAAGAATTTTGCTATTTAAAAAAAATTCAATAAATAAATAAATGGAATGTAGAAATGATCCTGCCATGTACAGGCCAGTTAGTCTTCAAAACATAATACCGTTGTTGTTTTTTCATGTATAACACGTCCCTGGGTATAAGATGCCCCCTATTTGGGGGGATGCAAAATTGAGAAAATGGGGGGAAATTGCCCTGAGTTGTTGAGCTTTCTTGGGTGGGGGGGGGTGACCCAGGGTTATTGAGCTTTGGGGGCTGTTGGGAGTTGGAGTCCAACAACCTCTGTAGGGCACCAGATTGAGGGAAGGTAAACTTGTGCTCTTAGGGGATGAGGTGCCCGGCAACATTGTGACACAGACCCCGCTTGTCAGAAAGTGGGGGCACTGAGGGCACCAAAAAGGGAACTGGGGAACCCAAGGGCAAAACAGGTTGTGGGGATCTGATATTCGGGGAGATGCTGAGGGTTTGTGGATTTGAATGCAGTAGAAAGAAAAGAGAGAGCTACTCACAGCCAAAGGCAACGCGGGTGGATTGATGGACTGTTTTCTTCAAGTTATGGTATCTGACGCTGCAGGTGAGGACTTTGCCCTCATCATCTAAGGAGGGCGTAAAGGTGATGTCAGCTCCGTATGTCTTACTCCAGTCGCTCGCTGTCGTTTGCCAGAAATGTTTGACGTGATTCTTTAAATTGGCATTCCAGTTGATTTGGGGTATATTCTCTGGGCACATTTCTGGCACGATACATCTGAAAGTGGCTGGTTTACGCCAGACTGCCTCTGATGGCTTCACAATCTTTGGCTTCGTCAGATCTAAAGAAGTGAGATTCACCGGGAAGGAGAGAGAAGAAAATTCACAGGGCATTGAGTAGGATGCACGAGCCCTGGATTAAGGGTGGGATTTCTCAGTCACAGACATTTTGCCACTCTTAACTCCCACCAAGGTTGTCATTCTTTCATTCTCATGGGCCTCTTCCCCTACACACACACACACAGTTAAGAACTGCATGATATCCTGGAAACTAACAGTCCACAGGTCCTAATGCAGTGTCGGCACAATTTTGAAACACTCAAATCACCCTAGAATCATAGAGTTGGAAGAGACCACAAGGGCCATCGAGTCCAACCCCCTGCCAAGCAGGAAACACCATCAGCACCCTGAAGTGCTTCAGAGTCTCTTGCTTCTAAATCCTATGTTTAATGCTCCTAGGGGAGCCACGTACCTGTCAAGAAAATCTGAGGTTGAGCATGAATTCGTTTATGGAAAGAAAGAAAGCTGAATCCTTCTCCTTTCTCAATTCGCAAGTAGTACCAGCCCACATCTTCTGGCCCCATATTCTTGATGCTGAAGGAGCAGTCACCAGTCTTAGGATCTCCTGTTAGCTTGAAATGGGTCGTGGTAAGATTTTGATTTTCGTTATTGGTGCAGACAATTTTACCGGGGATCCAATATCCGGGCCAGATCCAGCTGTGGGATTTATCTGCATCCTTAAGCCAAAAGACATATAATGGCCCAGACTTTTCCATGAACCATCTAGGTGTAGTAAACCTGCAGGCAACATAGGCACAGAAACCTTTCTGTACAGTGATAGTTTCGGCCACTCTGATGGAAAAGTCGAAGTGCTGGGCCAGCGCACCTGCCAGAGAGGGAATAAAAAAGATTTAAGTGTTATCTAGAAATGTTCAATTAAAACAAGCTCAGTGTTCTCCTCCTCTAGGATAGCCACCTGAGCATTGCCTCCCCAAAAGAGCCAATGTTTTGCCTGCCCCTGAGAAAGGGCAAAGAAAGACACTTGCATAAAACTTGAATAAAATCTGCAAAAATAATCCTCAGAGTACTATACTGGCTATCCCTGATTATTAATCACTGTCCTTGGAACTGTCCAGGATGCTGAACGACTTCTCTTAGCACGCTTGATTTCTGCTTCTTGCCATTTAAGAGGCTTCAAGAGGATCAGAAAGTCGGCGGTTCGAATCCCCGCGATGGGGTGAGCTGCTGTTGCTCAGTCCCTGCTCCTGCCAACCCAGCAGTTCGAAAGCATGTCAAAGTGCAAGTAGATAAATAGGTACCGCTTCGGTGGGAAGGTAAACGGTGTTTCCGTGCACTGCTCTGGTTCGCCAGAAGTAGCTTAGTCATGCTGGCCACATGACCCGGAAGCTGTACGCCGGCTCCCTCGGCCAATAAAGCGAGATGAGCTCCGCAACCCCAGAGTTGGTCACGACTGGACCTAATGGTCAGGGGTCCCTTTACCTTTTTAACCTTTACACTCCCTGCCTCTGAATCCCTTGCCCCAGCTATCTGCTCCAAACCACTGCACAACCCCACCATCCTCAGTCTGACTTCATTGAGCCCCTACTTGCCTACCTTCTTCCCCAGAACCTCCTCCTCCATCTCTGTGGAGCCACTTGTAGGCTTCAGCAAGGATGGAGACAAATCTAGAATCAGTTGACTCTGCCAGTCATTGGCTCTGGCTGTGTTTGCTGTTGACTCTCTTGTCTTCATCATTACCAGTCTAAGTGGATACCAGCGATCCAGTGGACAGGAACATTGGTTAAAAAAAAATATCAAAGCATTTCCTCACCTTGTCAATTTCACGTCAGAAGGGACAGGGGAGAGGTGGTAATGGCAACAATAGCGGACAGGAAATAAGATAATGATGGGTGACTGGGGGGGGCATAAGGACTTGGACAAATCATAAAAAGACAAAGGAATTAGTGATTTTCTTCCTCTTCATTTCTGCACATGCCTCTTACCTTTGCAAAGTAAGGCAAGGATTAGGGTTGCCACTGTTGCTAGAGAGGACGCCAAACCTTTTGTCTTTGAGGAAGGATTGGCAACCTGCCAGCTATTCTCTGCCTCCATCATCTTCTGGCTACAAAGGAGATCTGTCAGAGGGAAGGAGGGAAGGGTTTGACAAGAAGGAGAATTGTGACTACAGGCCACTGAAAGATTTCTGGTTGTGCTTGGGGAGGTCTTATCAGCGATCCTTGCAGCCCAATCCCAGGCATGTTTACCCAGATTTAAGTCCCATTGAATTCAGTGGGGCTTACGCTCAAGGAGCTGTGCGTAGGCTTGAGATCTTAGATAAAAATCATGCCAGTGGTAGGAGGACGATTTTAATTTATTTGATTTAACTGGCAGGTAAATCTGTCAAAATTTGCTCCTCCATTTCTCACTTTCCCAATCTTAAGACCTTAATGATTCCACATCCGTTTATGAGGGGTTTTTTATATGTTTTTTTTGTTTACTAAACTATGCATTATAATACACAATTTACCTCCTTACGTGCATTTTTGTAGATGGTACTTGACTGGAGCTGTACATCAAAATTCAGGGAAGTGTGTGAATGGCTGTGTTTTGTTTCGCATATTGTTGCAGAAAATGTGAATGGAGAAGACTCATCTTTAAGAGAGCCAGTGTGGTGTAGTGGTTAGGAGCAGTAGACTTGTAATCTGGTGAACCAGGTTCGCGTCTCCGCTCCTCCACATGCAGCTGCTGGGTGACCTTGGGCTAGTCACACTTCTCTGAAGTCTCCCAGCCCCACTCACCTCACAGAGTGTTTGTTGTGGGGGAGGAAGGGAAAGGAGAATGGTAGCCGCTTTGAGAGTCCTTTGGGTAGTGATAAAGTGGGATATCAAATCCAAACTCTTCTTCTTCTTCTTCTTTAAATGAGAACCAAATTTCCAAATGCCCCATCCCTACCCAGATGTAACCTGAAATTGCTTGAAATGTGATTCAATCTCACCTCAAAATAGCAACAGTTTGGAAGCTCCGCAATCAGCTGGAAGTGGGGAAGAGAAGAGGGCACTGATGGAGTTTAAAATACTTAATGTACCTTGACTCATTTTTATAAAAATCTATAAACAATGGGAAAGTCTAATTTTCCACTTCTCTCTCCTACCTCACTGCCTCTTATTCATTCTAAGCAGATTCCAACTGCCTTGGAATATTACATCACAAAGGATGCCCATATTTTCAAAAGGCAAGGACATTCCACAGATTTGGATGAATCTATTCATTTCATAAAAACATTTTATTTTGTTTTTGAGAATTGGAAGGGACCCCAAGAGTCATCTAGTCCAATCACCTGCAATATAGGAATCTCAGATTTCTTTTTCTCAGTTTTCAAATATACCGTATATACTCGAGTATAAGCCGACCCGAATATAAGCCGAGGTACCTAATTTTAGGACAAAAAACTAGGAAAACTTATTGACTCGAGTTTAAGCCGGTTCACCACACCACAAACCTGGTGGCGGCGGCAGTGGAGGAGGAAGAACAAGCAGCCCAAAAGGGCTTCTTTCAGACTGCTCGCTCCTCTGCCACCGCCAACAGTGGCAGAGGCGGAGGAGGAGGAAGGAGCAGCCGCTTGTCCCTCTGCTGCTGCCTCTGCCGCTCACAAGAGCAGGCATGGGCGCTTGGTTGGGAGTGGCACAGCACAGCGCCTCTCCCAGCCGCGGCTCCTGTGCCTGCCCTTGCAAGAGGCGGGCAGCGGCGGAGGGACGAGCAGCAAGAAAGGGCTCCTTTCTTGCCACTCGCCCCTCTGCAGCTGCCCACCTCACTCGAGTATAAGCTGAGGCAGGCTTTTTCAGCATAAAAAATATGCTGAAAAAGTCAGGTTATATTCAAGTATATACGGTAAGTGCTCTGCATTCCCCCATTGTCATGAACTGGTTGGATGCAGAGGAATGGTGGGAGGAACAGGCTGGGAAACAACAAGAAGGCTCAGAGCCCCGGGAGTGGAGGTGGGACAATGATGAGTGGTCAGAGGGAGAAGAGGAGGTGTCGGAAGCTGAGGAAGTAACAGGGTTTAGTGAGCTGGGAGACTCTGTGGCAGAAAGAAGTCCAGAATCAGAGGTGGAAGCTGAAGCAGGAGGGTGGGAGGAGATAGGTCAAGAGGCAGAGAAGATTCAGGCTGGTGATGATCCATGGGTGTCTCGCCCTCCTGCCATGACAAGCTCCCCCTGCCCCCCCATTGTCTTCCAGAACCAGAAGAGTCATGAAAAGGGCAATTAAAAGATTAGTAGCACACAGATGCAGCCTCCAATTGCTTGTGGGGAGAAACCCTGGAGAGGAGGGGAGTAGTGGTCCCTACCTTCCCACCACTTAGGCAGTAGTGGGAAGGCAGGGACCTTCAATCTCAGCAACTGCTTCATGTGGGGGCAAGACCTACTAGGGATGGGTTGCTGTGCTCCTTAGACTTGACACTCTACCAAGCCTGTGCAGTCTGTGGTTTTGCTAGTAAAATGTTAACTCCAACTTGCACTGTGTGATTTACTGCTGGCTGGCTCGCGTCAGACATCAGTTTTTGAATTTGTGCAATGTTTGGCATGTGGGTACCTCTGGCTTTTTCAGTGCTCTCCTGTTGTGACCTTTTCCCCTGGTATCGTATTCATTTAATTGATGCTGCAACATTTCACACTTTTGTGAGTCACTTGGGGAGATTTGTATGCCCAAAGGCCAGTATGGAAGATCTTGGAAACAAATGATGCCCTGCCCTTTTTAGATGGGAGGATTCCTTCTGATGCTCAAGAATTTTCCAAGGCAGTTAGACCCAGTTAAGGATCAATAAGAGGCAGTGAGGTGAGTCAGCGGGGAGATGTAGATTTAATAGAGTGGTACCTCTGGATATGAACAGGATCCGTTCTGGAGCCCCGTTTGCATCCTGAAGTAAATGTATCACCACTTCTGCGCATGTGCATGACATCATTTTGAATGTCTGCACATGCTCGAGGGGCAAAACCCGGAAGTAATGCGCTCCGTTACTTCTGGGTCACCACGGAGCGCAACCCAAAAATACTTAACTTGAAGCTACTTTAACCCGAGGTATGACTGTATGTGTCTTGTGTGCATTATGTTTTTAGGTATTATCTATACCCCTCCACCCTAAGCAATCCAATTAAGTGTATTCTCCTCTCCCTTTCCTTGGCTGCAGTCCTCCAGTTATGAATCGAATCAGTTCTGCATTCCACAAAGCAGAGTGGAGGCTGTCCTGTGAGGGTTAACTGTGCATTTCCCACCAAACTCAGCCACACCTGAGGGCTTCCTTCTCCTTACATACTACCAGTCCATATAGAGGCCCAAATTGTCAGCTTCCTCTCCATCCATCTCAGTGTCATTCTTGATGTCAGGGACCGTGCTGAGGAGGGCTGCACTGAGGAGGCGTGGTGGGAGCCACCCCCTCCCCCTGATCCTGAATCTTCCCAGGAACAGGAGGACAGCGTAGGTTTGGAACAGTGGTTTGCAGAGGGGCACAGTTCAGAAGGCAGAAGCTGGGAAATACTGGGTGGAGAACAGCTAGAAGAGGGGTAGGCAACCTAAGGCCCATGGGCCACAAGCGGCCCACAGGGGTCGTTTAACTGGCCCACGAACTGCTCCCAAACCGAGCTGCTCGCTCAGTGAGTCCCCGCGCGCTGCACTAAACTGGCACAGTGACTCACTTTTGTGGTGCCAAAATTGCGTCTGTGCAAACGCCAGAAATCGTGGGCACACACACTCATGTGTGTGTGTGATCTCCGCTGGAGTGAACCGGCCCAGGCAAGGTAAACCTTGCTGATCTCTGAGCTAGAAGAAGAAGAAACACTGGGGAAGAGATGGTTGACGGCTTCACAGTCGTTGGACAGCATTCCCCCACCGCCCTCCCCAAGGCTGAGAAGAGCTCAAAAAGCCTCAGAACAGAAAGCACAGAGGATAGAAGCTCAGATTACAAGACGTAGGAGTGACAAAGATTACCATACTTTTCCGTGTATAACACGCCTCCCCATGTATAAGACGACGCCTATTTTGGGGGGACTAAAAATTAAGAAGATGGGGGGGGAGATTGCCCAGAGTTGTTGAGCTTTTGGGGGGGAGGGTGGCCCAGAGTTGTTGAGCTTTTGGGGAGGGTTGCCGAAAAACACGCACCCGCCTGGCCGACACTAACACTTCCCGGCCCAATTGCCACAGCAACAACCAATCAACACCACCCCTTGCCACAGATAATAACACACTGCAGACCACCTCCTTTATTTAATTTTTGTGTCCTATGAGCTCAGGGGCACTAAGAGATGTTTTAATGAGACCCAGGTATTCCGATGAGCTTGCCATTCTATTCCATGCTCAGGTAACCCCGCTTGTACGAAAAGTACCAGGAAAGATGGAGGAATACTATTTAAGTTACCTCTTGTCCGACTGGAATCCCTATGTCACCAGAAATGTAGCTAGAAAGGTACAAACAGGCATTCTCCATTGCAGTGTGCAATTAAACAATTATACTTAATATTCCCTCCAGCCACTTTTGCCTCAGGCGTGTTCCCTCCTCTCTCTGGAAGAGACTGAAGCACATGCTGTGATCTCCTTTCATAGCTGCCCTATCGACCTGAAATTTGCAATCAACCTCAGCACCGCCTGTCTCACCCAGAGCTCATGATAACATTAAAAGGAATCACTGAATCTTAGAAAGCAACTTTACTCATGTAAGAGTGTGGCAGTGTGAACTGCACGCAAATTAAGCTTGATTTTCAATTGATTATGATGGCATTTTGGGGGAGCAGGTTTGTTGTGCTTCTCCAAATCAGCTTTAATTGTGCAACCTGAATTTCCCGCTATGTGACTGAACCCCGCCCCAAAATAGCAACAGTCTGGAAGCTTTCACACTCAGTTGGAGGGAGGGAGGTCACAAACATCATTATTATTATTATTATTATTATTATTATTTTATTTATACCCCGCCCATCTGGCTGGGTTTCCCCAGCCACTCTGAAGCACTTAATTCATGTTGGACCATTTTTATCTATAAACAATAGAAAAGTCTAGGTTCTCCTTCCCACCCCCACCCCCTCACTTACCTATTGCCTCTTACTCACTCTAAAGAGATTCTAACTGCCTAAGAATATTTCATCACAAAGAACAGCCACATTCTCAAAGGGCAAGGACATTCTGTAGGGAGTGACAAATCTTTCCATTTCAGTTCCTTATCTTTCTGATCTTCGTTCTCCACATTTCCACATCAGCTTGCAAATTCATGTAATGTTTGACTGGCGTGTATATCTGGCTTTCTAAACGATCTTCCATGGTGACCATCTTCCATTGTATCATATTGTGTTATATCCCACTTTTGCAAGTCACTTAGAGTGCCTTCATTACAGATCTATAGGCACCAGGCATTCCTCTTCTCCAAGGTCTTTGGCTAATGAAACCATCTATGGCCTTTTAAACACTGGGGAGGGGGATTTGTGTTTTGTTGCTGTTGTTGTTACTATGTTATGCGTTTTTTATATTGTAAACCACCCAGGGATCCTCAGATGAAGAGCGGCATGGAAATTTAATCAATCATAATAAATGAATAAATAATGTATAAAACTGCATTATAGGAGGGAAACTGCTTTGCAAAAATGTGGAAAATTGCATACAAGAATGTGTATATTTAGATAATTTCACACGAAAGTGCTGGTGAATTTTTGTGGGGACTTAGAAACAAACAAATTAGAAACTGATGTGAAAATGGGGAGAACTAATCTTTGAAATAGTGAGAAGCTTGTGAGAAAGACATGGGCAGATGCACTGATCCTTACAGAATATATTTGCCCTTTTAGAATGTGGGTGTGCTTTGTGATGGAAAAGGATATTCTAGGGCAGTGAGAACCCAGTTGGAATGAGCAAGAGGCAATGAGGTCAGAGAGAGAGGGAAAGGGGCATGTACAGGCAGTTTTTTATAGATCAAGGTATGTACATTATGTTTTTAGGCATTATCTGTGTCCTCTTTCACTCTCCTGCCCAAACCATCTGAGTGTGGGCACTTCCAAATTGTTTAATTTGCCTGTGCACAAATTTGTGAACACACAAAATATCCTGCCAGGAAAAGAATAAAATTGAACGAATGATCCCGATACCACTGGCATGATTATTATCTAAGGCTGCAATCCTGTGCACACGTATACCCATCATCTGATAAGACCTCCCCAGGCACAGCCAGAAATCCTTCGGCAACCTTCTCCTCCTCAAATCCTCCCCTCTATCTCTGTGGCAGATCTCCTTCCATGGGAATAACTGTAGCATGCACAGGATGCAGAGGGAGAAGCTGGCAGGTTGCGAATTCTCCCTCAAAGACAAAACTTTTGGCCTCCTCTCTAGCAACAGTGGCAACCGTGATCCTTACCCTGCTTTGCAAAGGTGAGTGTGATGTGCAGAAAAGTCATTGCAGAAGTCCCATGTCACTTTCTGATTTCTCCATGTCATATTACTCTCTTTGGTGACCCCCTTCCCCACTGCTGTTCCTATCACATTCTCTTCCCAACTCAAGTGAAACTGATGGGCCTTGTTACATGTTCTGTTCCTGTCTTTTGGGCTTGATGATAGGGATGGGGGAGAAATGTGTTTAGCAGAGGCAAAATACAGATTATGGAGGAAGTTGTATGGAAGACAGCTGGCAAGTGGGGGGGTCAGCTGAGGACAAACTGAGGTTGATGGGGAAGTGCCCCATTCCTCCTAATGGACTAGCCACCACTGCTCCTGTCTGTTTGCTTTGAGGAGCCCTCAGCAGAGTCGAGAAGAAGCAGATCAAGCAGTGGTCTGGAAAAGATAACTGGATCAAGGTATGGACAGATAGGGAGTGTAAATCCTACCAAAGTGCAGGAAGCAGGAAGCAAGAGCAATCAGAGAGAAAAGGTGTTCAGCACCCTGGACAGTTCCCAAGAAAGTTATTATTAAAGCAGTGGTGACCAGGGTGCTTCTGGACTCCAGATCCCATCATGCCTGACTATAGGCCATGCCAGCTGGGGTGATGGGTTCAAGAACGTTTGGAGGGGACATATTTTATATGCCAAGGGTCTTGGTTACAATCACCAGCACCTCTATGTAAAAGGTATCAGGTTGCTTACCTCTGCCTGAGATCCCGTTGGGCTGTTTCCACTCAGAGCAGACAACAGTGGAGAGGGTATAGCAGAACTCTGGAGTTCTGGCTCAATTTTCAATACTATAATCAACTGGGGTAAAAAGTGTGGTAACATTTGCACCATCACCAGAAAGTCTAAAATGAAACACTTAGGATTTAGGGAAGTTCTCTTTGCAGTGGCAAAGTATATTCATAACCAGGTAGCTTAGCTGGTGCTCCTATAGCAGATAATATAAGTGGAGTAAATGCTTTGGGGGCTGGAAAAGGTGAGGAAAGTAAATGGTCCTTAGCCCTGTTCTCAGGTACAAAAAAAATGGGGAGGGGGGGTTGTTGCCTTAAGAAGGGATATCCTCTTGTTAAAGCCGGCCAAGGCCACAAAGGTAGACTGCAAGAGGAGGTGGTAAAAAGACTACAATACAATTGGCTCTGTGCACATCAAATGGAGAGGATCTAGCTATGGCACACAATACAAAATCTGAGTTTTCTTGGTGATTTTTCAGGGCACACATCTTGAGTACCCCAGTTGCTTAGTAAGTATCTGTTTCACAAAACAGTTTGAAACTTGTTTTACCGGCACGGCTTTCTGTAAAGAACTACAGGAATGGAAACTTTGGTGAGGCTGCTGGTAACTCTTTTGTGGTATCTCAGACCCTTTTACAGAATGGCAGAGGAATGCGCAGCTAGACAGGAGCACACTGAATTTATGTTATCGAAATTTTATTCGGAACCATGAGGGCTAGAAACCTTGAAACTTTGAAAGCAGAGGTTCTCAATGTTGGAGCACAAAAGTGGCTCAGGAGCTTACACATCTGCTGCATGTTGCCCCCCTGTTGTACTAGACTGTACTATTTTGCCCAGAGCTGGGAATTAAAAAAACCGAAGATTTTTGGGTTCTAAGATAAAGGGGGGGCAGTGGAGTGGGTAGAAGGCAGCTTCTTGTGAATGACACTCACCCCTAAAAACATTCTGCTTTTCCCTGCTGGAATCTGAAGTGGATGATTCCTGCAGGCTTCTCTGGTCCACTGAGTGAGACTACCCTGGTGGTCACATGCCCTGTTTTACAGAGGGTAGTCCCCACAATGTAAAGGCATCCATCTATGGTAAGACGCATTTCTGTTTCAGTTATAGTCCTTGTTTCTGCATTTGCATCTATAAATATGCATTAGCACATGCAATTTTGTGCAGATGAATCTCCTCTTCTGCTCTCTTTCTTTGCCATATTTTTGGAAGTGCTGAATGAATTGGTCGTCTTTGGATACTAGTTAATTCTCTCCACCTCCCCATATACACATTCTGATAGGTATGCTGACCAACAACTTGGACTTTAGAATCACAGTGCCTGACAGCATCACCGCACAGCGAGGCTTCTGCATCCACGTTCCCTGCAGTTTTACTACTCCCGATTGGTACAAGAGCAGCTCTGAGCCCCTGTATGGCTATTGGTTTAGGATTACGGATCGGCAGACCAATTTGGAAGGGACCAACATCTGGGTCCCGGGGGAATTTAAGGCCAGCCGTGATGAAAGGCAGAGATTCCTTAAATTTCATTCCACTCATATGAAGTTATCAGGGGATCCAGAAAAAGGCGACTGCTCGTTCACCATCATCAACGCTGGACTCGATGACTGGGGCCAGTACCACTTTAGAATTGATAAAGGAGAGAGCTACAGATACTCCTTTAATCCTTCCAGTTCTCAAACTCACACTAATCCTCAGGTTGTGCTGACAGGTAGGTGGCTTTCCTATTAGGGGCATGCATAGGATTCAGACAAATCCCAAAGCCTGAGTTTAAAGCATCCTGCTTCAAAATGATTTGGAGTTTGTCTGAAGCAAAGCAGGATCTTTCCAAAGAGCCTCAAGCCAAAGCAAGAGTCTCTGAAGCATTTCATGGTACAGTAATTCAGATATTTGAAAGCTGTGCAGTCAGTGTGTCTGCAAACATGGAAACACTTCTCCCCAAGCTTGCCATATAAGGAAATTGCAAGGGGGGAAATGGAGAGCTCTTTTGTGACTGACATGTCTACTCGGAGGTAAAGAGGGCCTTCCAATCACAGTATTTGCAAGGAGTGAGATGTTGATGCAATGTCTCACATTGTCTGTTCTCTGCTCTTTTGCTTGGTTCTTGCTTGGAACATGCTGGACATTCAAGTCCTTCTGCCTCTGGGCTCCATGCCCTCCCATCCACTCTGGTGAAATCAACTTTGCCCTTTGATTCCTGTCAAGCAGAACACAACCTGGAGCTGTTTCCCATCCCATTTGTCATATTTCTGTAGCCTCATCACCCACAGTGTGAGAAGGACATTGCCCTCATGTCCTGCTGGTGGGAGTTTTCAGAAGCATCCGGTTTACCACCCTAGAAAATAAGGTGATGGACTTGATAGGCCATTTAGTCTTGAGTTCCACTGAAATTAATGTGGCTTAAGGAAATCACAACTCATATTCACATTGATTTCAATCAAACCAGAGTATGACTAACTTGTCATGGATCCAGATCAATATTTGTTGTCCACCCCCCTTTTTTAAGAAAAGTTGTTGGTTTCACTTTGTGCTGATGTTTTTATCACAGTTTTAACATTTGATCTGTCTCTTTTCATTACGTATGGTTTTATAATTTTATTGGCAGCTGACTTGTGAGCTCATTGAACAAAAAGACCACGTAGAGATTGTGTTGAGTTAAAATAATAATAATAAATATCATTGCCCTGGGATTTTGCTGCATTAAGGCACATTGATGTACACATAATGGGCTCTCAAATGTGTGGCCAGGAGGCTCTTGAGAACAAAAGGATGACAACCTTGGTGGGAGTCAAGAATGGCAAAGTGACGATGACTGGGAAATCCCATCCTTAAGCCAGGGCTCATGTGTCTTACCCAATGCCCAGTGAATCTTCTTCTAATTCCTCCCTGGGGATTTTCACTCATTTAGATCTGAAGAAGCCCAAGATCATAAAGCCACATGAAGTGATTTGGGAGAAACCAGCCACTTTCAGATGTATAGCAGCAGAAATGTGCCCAGGGACTAAACCCCAAATCACCTGGCATACAGAGCCAGATATACACCCTGTTTACGCAACATCTTCATGGAATACTCAACAGAGCAATTGGAGCTCGACCTATGGAGTTGACATCACTTTCAAGCCCAGCTTAGCTGATGATGGCATAGTCCTTACCTGCAACATCAAATACCATTTCTTGAAAAAAGCAGTCCACGTAGCCACCCGCCTTTCCTTTGGCTGTGAGTAGCTCTTTGTTTTCTTTCCTCTCTCTTCATCCCAATCCACAAACGCTCAGCAGCTCCCTGAAGATCAGATTCCCCCCACCCTGTTTTGCCCTTTGGTTTCCCACTTCCCCTTTTTGGTGCTCTCAGCACCCACATTTTGACAAGGGGGACCTGAATCACAATGTTGCAGTGCACCTCATCCTCTAAGACATCCCTTGGGCCACATACAAACCTCTGCCTAATTTGATGCAGAAGCTAATAATAATAATAATCTTGCAATTTTCAGTCCAAGTGATTCTTCAAGAAGGCAGGTGATTGTTTGTTGTTGTTGTTGTTGTTGTTGTTGTTTTTGCCAGTTTTGAACAGGATTCATAATGGCGTTTTCTAGGAGAATTCAGATCAACAAGAGCACAAGGTTACCATTCCCTTCCTATCTCAGAACATGAAGGAATGTATGTACTCATTTGTTCTTGCCAGCAATTTTACACATGCTTAAAGGAACAGGGACTAGACCACAGGCTACACTGTCTGTCCTAAATTGAGATGAAACCAATTTCCTTCTCTCTCTCTTTCTCTGGGTGCCTTCAGCCTGTCTCTAGCGTATTTTGTGCAAGGGATTCAAGCACATACCAGAAATCTAGGTTTGCACAGTTAAAGTGGATTGAAGTGCTCTGCCCCCTAGTGGAACAAACACACTTAAAAAAAATTAAAAAGAAGAAGAAGACGACTTCTGCAGTCCAGAAAGTGATGGGGCAGGGGAATGCACTGGAAAATATATGATGAGTGGGAAGACTTCTAAGGAACCAAAAGCCAATGAAGATGAATGCAAAATGAATGCTCATTGTCATATAACCTCCCTGGGAACAGAAACAATGAATGCTCAATAAAGACCAGGTGTAATCTAACCAGATCCTCTGGATGAACCCCTGCCAGCCAGGGAGGAGGGAGGCTCCAACTGTGTTGCTTGGCTGCATTGCTCACCCAATAAGGAGTCTAAGAACGACTGGGGGGTGGAGCTTGCATGCCTTGTGCCAATCAAATCGGCTGTGTTGCCTGGGGACTCGCCTATGCTCAGCACTTCCCAGCGGAGAGGTGACGGTGGTTTTCCTTGCAGCATCCCCTTTGCTGGGTTGCTGCGCTGGGGGAACAACCACTTGAGGCTTCGTTTGGCTGCTGGTTGACTAAAATCCCTTATTTTGGCTGCTGATCCCTTATTTTCGAGGCTGCTGGTCCCTTATTTTCAAATCTGTAAGTTGACAGCTATGGGCTGTGACCTCTGTATAAAACAAACTTTATTTGCTTCCGCTGCCCCAAAGCCTCTCGCTCTCTGTTGTAGCATTGTATTCACCCCAGCTTTTTGTTGCTTTCCAGATAGGCCTACAGCCAGCACCATCCTGCCTAATGCTACATGTGAGAATGAGGACCAAGGCCGCCGTTGCACCTGTTCTTTCCACTGCTGGCCTCCACCAACGCTTACGTGGGAAGTGGACGGGGTAACCGTCACTGGGAACGGAAGCACAAGTGACATGGAGGTCTTACACTGGGCTGAGGGCAATGCGGCGAGCAGCACCCTGCTGTGGAAAGGAGCCTCCATTGACCACTATGACCCCTTCATCACCTGCACGGCAACCAACCCCTTTGGGAAGCAGACAGTGGTGATCCTACCTGGGTCCAATCAAACAAGCGAGCATCACCTGCCCCAGACTTCACCTTTAAGTCCTGTGCATGCTAACATTTACAAATCTCCAAGACAGGCAGACTTGGGTGGGCTGTCCTAGGCACACTTCTCCTGGGAATAGGCACCACTGAACATAGCAGGACTTCCTTCCAAGGAAACATGCATCCGATTGTGCTGTTTGGCTTCATCCAAGGCAAGGATGGGGGACTTTTCTCAGCCCAGGGGCCACATTGCCTCAATGCACCGGACACTGAGGTCCAGTGCCGAGGGCCTTCTGGCGGTTCCCTCGCTGCGAGAAGCCAAGTTACAGGGAACCAGGCAGAGGGCCTTCTTGGTAGTGGCACCCGCCCTGTGGAATCCACCAGATGTCAAAGAGAAAAACAACTACCAGACTTTTAGAAGACATCTGAAGGCAGCCCTGTTTAGGGAAGTTTTTAATGTCTGATGTTTTATTGTATTTTTAATATTCTGTTGGAAGCCACCTAGTGTGGCTGGGGAAACCCAGCCAGATAGGCAGGGTATAAATATATTATTATTATTATTATTATTATTATTATTATTATTATTATTATATCTGTCCTTCTATCATGTCACTTCTCCCTCACCTTTTCTCCAAACTAAGAAGTCCCAAACTTGGGAACCTCTCCTCAAGGGAAAGTTGTCCCTTCACCATTTCCTTTGCCCTTTTCTGAACTTTCGCCAACTGTGAAAAACTACTCCCAGGTAAAACCTTCCCAGCACTGGAAATGCATGTATATTCGAAAAATGAATTGTGAACAGCACATTTCACTGAAATTGAAATGCTTGCTTATGCTGCAGTTTTGAAGCCAAACTAATTACCTTTGAAGTTCATTTAATGATGATAATGAACTAAAGATGATAAATACCTTTCCGGCTTTCCAAGATATACACACCCACATACACAAAGCAGATATCCCACAGGCTGCATACAGGGCTCCCCTGGATTTAATGGTGCCTTTAATTAATTAATCAAGCAACTAATCATAATTAATTGATAATCAGATTTAACTTGCAGGCAGTTCAGAACACAAGCACACAATATGCGCAGCTTGCAGGCTTAACATATAGAATAAGAGAACAAGAAGAACACACGTTTAGAGAAAATTGGAAAACGTTTATTGAATATATAGGGGACAATCGTGTGCACTTGAAAAGGTTGGCAGCATTAAGATAAATTCGACAGTGTAAATAAGTTTTGATGGATGTGGTAATGGAATACTGAATGGTTTAGTTTATGTAAAATATGCAGGGATTTATGATTTGCAAAATGAAGCATGGAGAGAGAAGAAGGGAAGTCATTGATATTTTAAGGATCTTTAATTAATGCATTCCTTCATGGGTAACCTCCTGGGGCATGATGGCCAGAGGCAAATGTGGGTGTGATTCTTCCCTTTGTACAATGGGCTACATTCCAGGCACACAGCAGTCAGAGATGTCTACAAAGACATGCACAGGCACACCTCTCCATCTAGGCAAGCAAGAGGCATTCTCAGGATTCAAGCGGCGGTTGTTGGTGCCCATTGGGAGTGGTAGGGTGGAAGGCAAGGAGACCGGCAGCAGGTGGCGCCAGAGCCAATGAGATGCAGCGATAAACTCAGCCTAGTTTTGCTGCCATCCTCCTCCTGGCTGGGATTAAGGAGAAGGAAGATGACAGTCAGGTTGCAGGTAGGAAGGCAGGACAGCTGGGAGGAAACTGAAGGCAGAGTGAGGCTGATGGGGCAGTGCCCCACTTGCCACAATGGACCAGCCTCCACAGAAGTCAAGGAAACATTCTAGCCAGGCATAAGAACCCAAGGAAGGTTTCAAAGCAGCATTGGTGAGGATCACAGAGAGATTGGGGTGGAGGGATACATTCAGACCTGGGTTTGAGCTTCCCCTCCCGTCTAAATTGCTTTAGCCGCTGTATTTTTATGCTAAATTTAGTGGTTGGGGCCTTTTGTTGGTTGGCTGCGCTTCCTGTTTTGTGATGGATTTGATTCTGGTTTTACAGAGCATTCCTGGAGGCCAGCATAACTTACCCCTATTCCAAACTCCATTGAGGGACTCTCTCAGGAAGGCTTGCTGAGTCAGTAGGTGAGCAAAAGCCCATGTTTTGAGGATTGGGCCCTAGGTCAATGTGATCAAGGTTTGGAATAGGTAGAGGTCTCTCCTTTTTGTCCCCCATTCAACTCTCTCAGAATGCCCATTTGGGGAGGACTTACGACAGCGTAAGTTACACCAGGTAAGCCCCCACACTGAGTCAGGGTGAGGGGCTCACATCAGTGGAGCCCCAACTCAGCAAGGAAAGACAAAGAACTGTTAAATCTCTGGCCTCATGGCAGATTTTGGGTTTGCATTGCGCTGTTATTATTGTGTGAGGGTTTTTTTTTTTTGTATTTTCCTGGTGTATGTCAACTGCCCAGAGAACTTGATTGGATGGGTAGCATATAAAGATATTAAATCATCTTTTACAGACGGCCCTCTATCACCACCTTATGTGAAGGTGAAGATTCCTTGGGTCATTTCTGGGGTCACTCTTGGGTCCTTGAATCTGCTGACTGTTGTTGTGGCCCTGGTTTACCTTGGCATAGGTGAGTAATGTGGAGAGCAGGCCTCTCCTCCCTCAGTTGTGGCTGAGTGAGGCAGGCATGTCATCTCCCGGCTTAACTATCCATGGCATAAAGATCCTTAGTGGATATTTACCCCTGAGGTGACCCATCTCCCTCTATACCAGGAGGTGTCTATCACCTTCCCTAATCTCCATAAAGGTATCACTCTGTTTACCTGTAAAATGTGACTTTGGCTTTCATAGGTCAGAAGGAGCCAAGTGTTGCTCAGTCCCGGGGCTGTCTTAAGCATATGCGGCACCGGGGTGCAAAGATCTGTCCAGCGGCACCCCCCGACTTTTTAGAGGATTTTCCAGGGTTAAAAAGTCATCTAATACGCCGGAATCTACAGTAAATAGAGATTTCCTAGATGCCAGGTTCCAAGTTTGGGGCAAATACTCTTTGCTGAGAGAATCCCAGGGGAGTTTTAAATATGCAGCCATGTAAAGCATGGAAATATAAGATGTTAAACTTTTAAAATATACCCTTCTATGTTCCTTCCAAAATTGCCCTCTACCCTAGCATAGAAAAAGACTACACATTTGGTATGTTTAAAATGGTTTACTTACAAACTCTCCAAAATTCAGATTCATACGCTTCTCCATACAGCATTCAAAACAGTCTCACAAGCAATAAAACGTGGCTTGCTTAGTGGTGAAAGCCCCAAAATTATTGGTATAGGAATACAAGAGTTGAAAGTGACCCAGAGGATCATGTAGCCCAACTCTCTGCAATGCAGGACTAAGCAGCTGTCCCTTACTTGTGGACAAAATGGACTGTTTCAAGAGGTGGCAGAAAGATATTTCTAAATTTGTCTGGCAGGGCAAGAAACCTAGAATAAAATTTAAAATATTAACAGATGCAAAGGAAAGAGGTGGATTTGCCCTGCCAGACCTCAAACTTTATTATGAATCAGCAGCTTTTTGCTGGTTGAAAGAATGGCTACTTCTTGAAAACACTGACATTTTGGACTTGGAAGGTTTCAATAATGTATTTGGATGGCATGCATATTTATGGTATGATAAGGTCAAAGCACACAAAGCATTTAAAAACCACATTGTCAGGAAAGCGCTATTTAATGTTTGGATAAGATATAAGGATTTGCTAGAAAATAAAACCCCAAGGTGGCTGTCACCAATGGAAGCGAAAGCCTTGAAAAGGGTCAATATGGAGGTCAAATGGCCGAAATATTGGGAAATTTTGGAACAAGATGGAGATAGACTGAAATTGCAGAGTTTTGAAAAACTAAAAAACAAAGTGCGAGACTGGCTTCATTATTATCAAATAATGGAGGCATTTAAATTAGACAGGAAAATTGGCTTCCAGGTGGAAAAATCAAAATTAGAAACAGAATTGTTAGAACCCAATACTAAGAATCTGTCAAGAATGTATAACTTGCTGCTGAAATGGAATACTCAAGATGAAACGGTAAAATCGGCTATGATTAAATGGGCACAGGACGTAGGACATAACATTATGTTTGCTGACTGGGAACAGTTATGGACCACTGGTATGAAATTTACGGCATGTAATGCCTTAAGAGAGAATATTATGAAAATGATATACAGGTGGTACATAACCCCAGTCAAGCTTGCGAAAATCTATCACTTGCCCGATAACAAATGTTGGAAATGTAAAGAAACTGAAGGTACATTTTTTCACCTTTGGTGGACGTGCCCAAAGATTAAGGCTTTCTGGGAAATGATATATAATGAATTAAAAAAGGTATTTAAATATACCTTCCTCAAGAAACCAGAGGCCTTTCTCCTGGGCATAGTGGGCCAAATGGTGTTAAAAAAGGATAGAACTTTCTTTATGTATGCAACAACAGCAGCAAGAATACTCATCGCAAAGTATTGGAAGACACAAGAACTTCCCACGCTGGAGGAATGGCAGATGAAACTTATGGACTATATGGAATTGGCGGAAATGACTGGCAGAATCCGTGACCAGGGAAGAGTCGATGGAGGAAGACTGGAAGAAATTCAAAGACTATCTTCAGAAACACTGCAAAATTAAGGAATGTTAGAGTGATGTTGGATTGAAAATAAGTGGTTTCCAGCTGTACAGGTTAAAGTTAAGGATAGATTAAGATTAAAGATCAAGATTAAAGATGTTTAAAGAAATGGAAATTTGATAATAAAAGGGAAAAATTTAAAGGTATATGACATTAAGAACAAGGATTATGTTTAAAAAGTTGAAGTTATATATTTTAATATTTTATTAAATTAAAGATTGGGTTTAAAAAGTGGAAAAGAAACTGCTGGACAAATAATGCAGATTGGAATACAAAAGAGGGAGGTATGAGGAAGTCCAGAAAATAAGTAATTTAAAATTGGGAATGGAAAAGAGAGTTTGTTTTTAATTGTTATGTTTTGTGTTTTTATTGTTAAATTTTGTATTGCTTTTTTGTGTGTGTTGCTTTTCTTTTTTCTTTGTTTAAAACCTTAATAAAAATTATTTAAAAAAAAAAAAAATAAGCAGCTGTCCCTTACAGGGATCAAACTTGTAATCTTGGTGTTATCAGCACCACACTCCTCAGTCCTGCTTTATACTGTGAGGAAACTCTTATTTCTGGGAATGGTTCCTTATTTAGGATTGAAATTTAGTATTACAGTGGTACCTCGGGGTAAGTACTTAATTCGGGCCAGAGGTCCGTACTTAACCTGAAACTGTTCTTAACCTGAAGCACCACTTTAGCTAATGGGGCCTCCTGCTGCTGTTGCGCCGCCGGAGCACGATTTCTGTTCTCATCCTGAGGTAAAGTTCTTAACCTGAAGCACTATTTCTGGGTTAGCAGAGTCTGTAACCTGAAGCGTATGTAACCTGAAGTGTATGTAACCCAAGGTACCACTGTACTAAATAAGCAACAGGGTGACATTCTTAGAGGGACACCTGTGTCGCTATTGAAACTGCTCTTAGTACCCCAAAGTTCACAGGATGGAGCAGGAAACTGAAATAAAATAGGTAGCCAGACTAAGGGTGGGCCTGAGCATAAGGAATGGCTTTAATGCCTATGATTTTCTTCCCTCCAGTGTCCAATCGTCAGGTTTACAGGCATTGTAGAGATATGGCATCAAAGAGATTACAGGCATCGTAGAGATGTGGCTGAAGTTTCTACAATGGATGCTGCCATTTCCCCTTCAATGCAGGTCTGGCATTGAGTGGATCATATGAAATTAATTTACCATGACATGCTAGCTATTGTTTCAGATTTGCATTCACAGCCCAAATATGCACAGTAGAGTAACTTCCCTGTGCTAGTAAGCAAAGAATAAATCCATTTTGGCTTGTGGAACATTCTCCACCCTGATTCAATTGCTTTATTTTCCGCAAATCTTTCTTCCATTTTGTAGGCCACTGACGGGGAAATATACATACTTTAGTGTATTTTAAACATATTAATGGCAGGTAACAGCCAAGCATATATCAAGCCATCAAAGATATTAACAAGCCAATTTCCAACCCTGCATGATGCTTTTCCAAGTTAATGAATTTCCAGAGGGGCAGCCAGTGTTAGTCATTTGCAGCAAAAAAAGAAGAAGAAAAGAACAAAGAGTCTTGTGGCACCTTGGAGACAAAGGGCTAATGACAGCAATTCTAACCATGTCTACTCAGTAAGTCACAGTCAAAAGCTGCTGTGTTGACCTGTTGGATAGGCACCTTATGAACAGAGGGGATTAGGTACCTTCAGGGATTTTGGGGGAAATAGACCATTGCAACTTTTGATACCATGTTTCCTGATCTGCAACTCAGCAGGGAGCAGGGAGGCCTAAGAGATTGGGCGAGGCAGTTTCCACATCCGCAGACCTGATGCTGATGCCAGCCAGGACAGAAGAGCCCATCGTTGTGCCTGTTGCATGATTAAAAATGAACCAAAAACAAACCCCTGTGTTGCAATAACACAACAAAAGGACAGTGTCTCTGGAATGATGCTACTGATTCGTAATAGTCTTCATCAGCAGATATTTTTCAACAGAATATATAAGTAAGATTCATGCTAAGGATCAGTGCCTTTTTGGAGTAAATATTTGGTGTATATAAGAGATAATTGTAAATCTTTAAAGACACTGGCAGGGTTTGATTAACTTCAACAGCATATAGTTAATTAGATGAACGAATAAAGTACGAGATGTAATGAAACTATAAGATACTTACCGAAGGGGAGGGGAGGAAGTCTGAAGCTCGGCAGAGCTAAAGGTGATATATGAGATTTTTTTGTATAACAAATGTACATAAATGTACTCTGATTGAAAATAAATAAAAGTCTATTTTTTTAAAAAAAAGGATCAGTGCCTTTTGAGGCTTTTGAGGCGTCTTCCGTTGAAACTTTCGAAAAACTATTGAGAGAGCTTACTTTTGAAACTTTTGTGACGTCTTCTGTTGATACTTTTGAAAGACTATTGTGAGACTGTCCTTAGACATCTGTTTTGAACACATGGCTTGACGGTCCTCGCTACCACTCTGTTATTTTGTACGTAAGAACTTTGATTGGCTTACTCCTACAATTTGAATGATATCATTACTCTATTATATCTTTTCTACTATTAGCCTACGTGTTGTGTTTGTATTGTTGTGCATGATTAAAAAATAGCAGTTTAAATGTCAAGCCAATGTGCAAGTTAATGCAGAAAAGGGATGGTGCAGACTTTAGGGATGAACAGAGGTGAACAAGACATGAGACAGAAAACAGACTTATTCTCCTCCCTGTCCCCTTACTGCTCTGTGATAGGCAGGCATTTAACAGGCCTTGGGTTTTCCAACACGGAAGAGCTGTAATGGTTAAAGCTTTTACTGTTGATATCTGTCTGCCATGAAGTTCATAAAACAGAAGCCAAACTCATATGCATGGTACCCAATTTTATATCATCTATCTATCTATCTATCTATCTATCTATCTATCTATCTATGTATCTATCTATCACCTATCTATCTATCATCTATCATGAGGATGACAATGAGGAAGTTCTTCCAACATATTCCACTTGGGATTTCCACCTCATTTCTCTCAATTTTCTCTTCAGGCTCCACAGCAGCAAGGCGACGAGGCCTGGATCAACAGGCCTTGGTGGCAACAGAACCCACTGAACTATTGGCACTGGTTCTCTTGTTTCTTTCAGCGGCGATAAGAGAACCTTTCCAGCCCTTATTCAAGACACTAGGAACTAGCACCCTTGCTCTGGAAATGTTGTATGTACAACTCTCCTTCTTCCTTCAAATAAAACATTTTGCTTATTCACATATAAACTCTTTATTTTGCCTTTCAAAGCATTCGAGGCATGCATTCCCACCATGTGTTGGACAGGCCCAGCAACATTACAATGAAGGAGGGAAGGCCAGCAAGACCTGAAGCAAAAGACCTTAATTGATCCTTTGAGGGCTACATTTTGTCCCCCATTTCAAGTCACTGCAAATTCTCCAGAAACGTATTTGCTTTGTTTTGCCCGACTTACTTTTGCCCTGCAGTCTTCAGCCCCTGGCTCCGCCCACCCTCAGAATGTGGCCCTCAGAATGTTGGCCACATAAAATCCGCTCTGTGGGCTGAAAAGCATTATCCACCTTTGCTGCCGAAAGCACCACTGCTAATATATCCAAACCTGCTTTTCTTCCACATAAGGGACTGGGGCATTCAGGGTGAGCCACATAGGTGGAATCAATCTCCACAACCACAGTGTTGTGCAGTTCTGCTGAGACCAGATGGGGTGACAGATGAGGTCCTTGTGGTCCAGACCAGTGGTTGGAAAGACTATGGTAAACCTCTCCAGAGTCATGGAGGACTTGACAAATCTGCATATACCTCTGAAAGACCACACAGATCTGCTATTGGGTCCCTGAAGCACAGATTCACACAAAGCGGCAAAACGTCCTTGCAGGTTATTAACAGGACTTTTATTTGAAGTGCATATGCAGAACAAAGATACAGGGCGATAAATACGAACCTGCACACCCAGTCAGGGTGTGCCCCCTTTATATAGATTTGCAGAACAGAATACCACCTGATCTCTTGTAAGTCACCTGATTTCTTGTAAACCACCTGATTTCTGGGAAATCGAAACTTATAATAAGTTCCTATTACCATGTAAGGTCTTGGTCTTCCCTCCCTCCTTCCTGCAACCTCCCTCATCCTGGTATTACAATAAATCCTTGTTCCTTATCTCTATCCGCCCAAGCTAGACATTCCAACGAGAGGCCCATTTGCACTGTAACATTTAAGCGTGTCCTTCTGGTTGGTGTAGAAACCTCCCCTTTTAGGATAATAATAACAACAATTATATTGTAATATGCCCCTTCACCTCCACTGAAGGCAAGTCCACTATCTTCATTACTCTTAGACTCACAGACTTTTCAGCAGCTGTTACACCTGGAAAGTTCTTGAGCTTTTTTTTTCAGAAAACCACTGAAATTGTTGAGCTTCTTTTAGACAAACCCCAAAGTTGTTGTTGAGTTTTCTTTTACAAAAACACAAAAAAACCCCAACGCTTGATTTTTCAATTGACTTGCCTAAGATCCAGGACAAAGCACCTTTCAGGAATTCCCTCCCCCCACCCTCGACATCAGTTGCACCAGTAATGTCCAGGAAAACCCGGATATATGGCAGCCCTTGTTACCATTGGAAAATATTTTATTCACAGTTACGTATAGCAAATTTGTTCAGTATTATAAACCATTCCTCTACATAGTCCTTCTACAGGCACATTACATGGTTTGATTCCCTAAGGCTCAGAGAATACTGGAGACGTACGTCTTCGTAATATGTACTTGATTTAAAAAATACACAGGCAGGCCATGGGTGGAGACAAACAGTTTGTAGGCAGTAGCATTCATTTATGTCTAGTACCGGTATTTCATGGGCTGATGAGATTTCACACTTGACTCCCAAGACAAATTGAAATGATCAAGATGTACCTATTAATTCTGAAGCAGAAATTCAAATCTTTTTGCAAAATTCATTGGGGAGCAAAATTCCCCCCACTGCTAATGCAAAAGAACAGCTTTCATACATAATGGAGGTCCCTCTCTTAGCACCTGAAAGCTGCTGCATGCAGACCATTACTCAGAATGTGAGGCCATTATTCAATCTTGTGTATGGAAACAGAATCTCAAAACCCCCTTCTCCAGTGTTGATAATCACCCCAGATTTGAATGGATGAGATTGACTCTCTATGCAATTTTGCAAGGGCGTCCATTCCGCAACGTCCTGTTCTTTCACACCTTAATCTGCTTTGCAGTTTTACTTCCTGTTTGATCAAACCATATGCGATCTTAACTTCATAGTTCTGCCCTTGAGGGCAAGGGTTTCCTCCTTAAGAAATATCTGGGAGGGGAGGACAGCAATCTAGATTAGGACTCTGGTGTGACACTACATTCACAATTCAAAGTGTTGGTGTGGACCTTTAAAGCCCTAAACAGCCTTGGCCGGGTATACCTGAAGGAGCATCTCCACCCCCACCCCACCCCCCATTGTTCTGCCCAGACACTGAGATTCAGCACTGAGGGCCTGCTGGCAATTCCCTCATTACGAGAAGCCAAGTTACAGGGAACCAGGCAGAGGGCCTTCTTGGTAGTGGCACCCACCCTGTGGAACACCCTCCCATCAGATGTCAAACAGATAAACAACTATCTGACATTTAGAAGACATCTGAAGGCAGCCTTGTTTAGGGAAGTTTTTAATGACTGATGTTTTAATGTATTTTTAATCTTTGTTGGAAGCCACCCAGAGTGGCTGGGGAAACCCAGTCAGATGGGCGGGGTATAAATAAATTATTATTATTATTATTATTATTATTAATCTAGAGCAGCCTTCCTCAATCTTGGGCCCCCAGATGTTGTTGGACTATGATGCTCATCACCCCCAGCTGGCAGGACAAGTGGTCAGGGATGATGGGAGTTTTAGTCCAAGAACACCCAACAGTCTGTACCTGGGTGAGGAACAGAGAGAAAGGGAGTGGTTATGTTGCTGTATGATATTCTATTGCTCTAGATGGGAGCACAGGTGCCGACTATGCAGGGCCCTGGGTGCCCGGGCACACGAAATATTTAAATGAAGGGGCTTCCCCCCACCCTCCAATTCCACTTGGTAGCGTGTGCATGCCATGGGGCGTACATTTGTCATGTCGGCACGCCCCCCATGGCGTGCACACAGGGCAATCCAAATCCACATATAAGAAATACAAATATCCAAATTAGCACATAACATTTAAAAACAATTTGAAGCAACCCCACCCCCACCCCAAATAAAACAACACCCACCCACCCAAGTATTTCAATGCAGTTCCTCGCATTGGTTCACCGAATGCAAATTGCGGGGAATTTGTAGGGAAGGGCTGTGCTTGAGGGCAGAATTATGCCATGTGCGTCACACGTGGTTTGGTTCTCAGTTCAATAAAAATGAAATGTCTTGTGGCTGTTGAGGTCTTGCAACTCACTGTAGACATGACTGCATGACCACCACCCCGCTTCCAGTACTTGGAACTCACTAACAGATAACTGCCTGTGCTCTCTCTGATCGTTGCTCCATACTTTCCCTGCAGGAGGAAAAGGCCATAGCTCAGTGGCAGAGCCTCTGACTTGCATGTATTCAATCCCCAGACTCTGCCTGGAACCCTGCAGAGCCTCTGCCAGCCAGTGTAAACCACACTGGCCTGGATGAGCCAATGGTCTGGCATGGTATAAGGCACGTTCCTTTGTTCCTAAGAGTCTCCTGGGAACTGAGCACTCGGATGTCTCAGCTACTGATTTCTCTGCCCCATTTGTTGCATCACTGTCCGGGTTGTGCAAAGTGAGGAACAAACTGTTGTGTACTTCAGTCTTTGTTGCAACCGAGCTTTCGCTGTCTCCCTCCTTGTATTGATATAACTCGCTGGAGAGGAGGCGGCCATTGAATACATCCCTGGCTAAGAACCAGCTTGTCCTGAAGGCATTTGGAATCTGCACATAGTGAGTCAAGGTATGTGCAGGACCTGTGGCCTGTCGTGGGCTTACTTTTCTTTTTTTTCAAACTTGAAGGTGGGAGGAGAGAGCTGTTGTTGCCCCCGTAATTCATTTCTGTTCCCCTGTGGCTCCTGATCAAGAAGGTGCGGAAGGCTTTTGCAGTCTTTCAAATACCTGAAAAACCTATTTTGCAACCACAGAGGGACCAGGATGGGAGGAATCAATATGCTTAAAGTGAGCAACTCTCTTAAAAGCTCTTTTTTAACTGCCTCTTTGTTGGCAGTTGAGCTCCATCGTGGGTTATTTCCCCAAAGGCCTGGCACACTGATAATTACTTATGTGGATCACAGATCCTGATCCTCATTACCTGCTTGTGGGTTTCCCAGAGACATCTCATCAGCCACTGAGGGACACTGTGTGCTTGACTTGGAAACCCATTTCATCGGTCCAGTTCAGTTCCTCTTAGAGTCTCATTTTCCCAACTGCAGGGGGTTGGACCAGATGACTTGCGGGGGTCCCATTCACCTGTACAGTTCTATGCTTCTGCGAAACAAGGGTGCATGGCACCATGCAGGATTAGATCTTCTTGCTTAACAGCTGCTAGACAGGAGGCTCTGGTCCTGTGTAGCACTGCATCACAAGTGGGTCTGTTTTGGGGGGGAGCTGTTTATCAAGCAGCACCCACACCCCACAGAATTGGTGCCTCAACAATTGTTAAGCAGAGGCTTCGATCCTGTCGAGAAGGAAAGAGAGGTCTCTTCTCCTGAGAAGATACAGCCTTTCCGGTCAAGTAGGTCACAGACTTTCCCACTCAGTTTTCCTGCCCTGTCTGCTTCTCCATCTTGCCTGGTAGCCTGCACCCTGATAATCACCCTGGGCATAGTTTTAACTTTGGAAAGGTGGTGTGCAAATAAAATGGTTGATTTGCTGATTGAATTTCATCAGAATAATAATAATTAATAATAATAATTTTTTATTTATACCCTCCCAAGGCCAGGCTCAGGGCGGCTAACAAGCAATAATAAAGACAAGTTGAATGAATACAACTTAAAAACAAGATTAAAATATAACATTAAAATATTGAAACAGTAAAATATTAAAATGTCAAAATACAGCCTCATCACATGAGGAGAAAGGAAAAAGAAAGAGGGGGAGGGAATCAAATTGGCTCCAAGCCAAAGGCCAGGCAGAACAACTCTGTCTTACAGGCCCTGCGGAAAGAAATCAGATCCCGCAGGGCCCTGGTCTCATGAGACAGAGCGTTCCACCAGGCCAGAGCCAGTGTTGAAAAGGCCCTGGCTCTGGTTGAAGCCAATCTAACTTCCTTAGGGCCCGGGACCACTAGGGTGTTGCTATTTATGGACCTTAAGGTCCTCCATGGGGCATACCGGGAGAATCTACCTCTCTTTTCAATAATTTTCAAGTGAAATTCCTCCCCGCCCACCCACCCCCCATTAATGTATACCTGAAGGAGCATCTCCACCCCCATCGCTCCACCTGGACACTGAGGTCCAGCTCCGAGGGCCTTCTGGGGGTTCCATCACCGTGAGAAGTGAGGTTACAGGAGGGCCTCCTCGGTAGTGGCACCCACCCTGTGGAACGCCCTCCCATCAGATGTCAAGGAAATAAACAACTAACCAGTCAGGTGGACAGCATGTAAAATTGTTGTTGTTGTTAAAAAACAGGGAATAGTCACAAAACTGCACAAGGCATTTTTGGTTCTGCGCCAGCATTGGATGGCATCTGTGTCACCACAAACTTTTACTCAAGGACTCGTTTTGGACCAGCTCCTCTGGCTTTTCAGACAATGGGGGAAGCTGCTGTCGCAGCCCACAAAGGGGAAGTTGTGGTCTCTTCTGAGCTCAGTGTTGTCACTGGTTTCACAACTTCCAGAATGTGTGATGCTCTAGGCATGGGGTGAAGGAGGGCCTCGGGGGAGCAAGACACAGTCAAGCTTGGCAGCCCAAAGAGAAAATCACATCAAGAAGTTGTTGCAGACGCACATTGTGATATTGGAAGCGTATAGATAGTTCTGCTTGCATTGTGATTGCACATGAGTAGCCCAGGCATGGTGAGTCCTCACAGATGCTCAGCCTAGAGATTAAACCAGGTTATCACTGCCATCTCGAGTTATTCCTTAGGCCAGTTGTTAGAAGCTGCGGGATTGGAGAACGCTCTTGTTTTCAGTTCCTGTTTGCTAGTTCCCGCAGGCACCTAGTTGACCATTGTGAGAACAGAATGCTGGACTTGATGGACAATGGCAGGCTCATCCAGCAGGCTCATCTTATGTTCTTATATGCGAATGTTCTGGCATTCCTCACCCAACATACCTCATTGAATTCAGGAGGACTGACTTATAAGCAGTAATTCTAAGAAGCAATTAAAATTGTTTCAGCAGTTTGCTTCATTACAGGGTGCCTTGCATTGTAGAAGTGGGATTGAATCTAGGCTTACAGTTCTCAGGCAAATTCTCCTAACACATTTTCCTTTCCCCCCCCCCCCCCCAAAAAAAAGTGTACGGCAGTCAAAATGACATTAAAAAAATGTGTTTATTAAGAGAAAATTGCACTACAATGCTCGGAAATTGTCATTTTTATAATTGCTGCAGAAATGTGGAGAACCAAATTTAAAACCGGAAAAATAAGAAACAAAAAATGCCAAATTTGGTATATCCTTCCATCCCTAGTCATGCCTAACTTGGGGCCATTCATTTCAATGGGTCTACTCTGAATAAAACTTAGTTGGATACAACTCTCAGTTGGCACATGTAAAATACAGTGGTACCTCGGTTTTCAAGCATCTCAGAAGCCAAACGTTTTGGTTTTCAAGCACCCAAAACCCGGAAGAAATTGCTTCCGTTTTCGAATGCGCCTCAGAAGTCGCACAGCTTCCACTGTGGGTGTTTTTGTGTGTGTGTGTGTGTTTTTTCAAATTTCTCCATTGACTTTGCAGACTGTCCTTTGCGCCTCGGTTGTCGAACGTTTCAGAAGTTGAATGGTCTTCCAGAATGAATTACGTTGGACAACCGAGGTACCACTGTACTAGATAGATAGATAGATAGATAGATGAGAGAAGCCTAAGAAAGAAATCAAAATCCAAGACCAGCCAATAAAGACTGAAGATGCTCAGTGATCACAGAATGCTGAATGTCTCTTGTAGGGAGAGGGGAGCTGGAAGGAGAGGAATGGAAGATCTTGAGAGAAGGAATGGGCGGCTAGCTGGAACACTGAACAAGGGCACTCCAGACTACAACTCTTCTTACAGGTCCCACTCATTCCCACTAATAGCATATTTAGGGGCTCTGCACTAACTGGTACCACAGCAATATGACGGCCCCCCACAGGTGTTAAGTCAGTATTTTTTTAACGTATTGCCAATAATCCAAGGTGTGAGATTTAGAGCAGGGAGAAAGACACTAAATATGGCCTGTTTCCTTTCTGCAGACATCATGAACTCCTCCTCAGCTGACCAGGTTGACACCACACCGGTGGAAGCCGCCATGCGCCACATCGCCATAGTAACCAACGTCATCATTCTGATCCTGGGCGTTAGTGGCAACGGGCTGGTGGTGTGGGCCGTAGCCAAGCGGGAGAAGCGCAAAACCTTCACCTCCACCTGCTACCTCAACCTGGCTGTGGCAGACCTCCTCTTCTCGGCCGGCCGTATCCCTGCCCTTGTGCAGGAGATCATGTACTCAAGCTGGCCCTTTGGCCTCGCCTTGTGCAAGCTCCACACTTTCGCCCGCTACCTCACGGTCTTCACCAGCGTCTTCATCCTCACCATCATCAGCGTACACCGCTGCCTGTTGATCTCGAGGCCCGTCTGGGCCCGCAACCACCAGGGCCCTCGCTTTCAAGTCCTGGCATGCGCTGGGGCATGGATCCTAGCTCTCGCCTTCAGCATCCCTTATCTGGTGGTGCGCCATGTTGAAATAAAAAATGGATTGCCCTACTGCGTCTATCGGGGAGATCTCAAGAGAGCCACAGACCTGCCCCTGAGGCTGAGCAGGTTCTTTGGAGCGTTCCTGGTGCCCTTCATCATCATCGCTGTGGCCTACTTGGTTCTGATTTGCAAACTCCGAGGACGGCGCTGGGAGGGATCCCACCGCACCTTCGCTTTGGTGGCCACCATCGTGGTCCTCTTCTTCGTCTGCTGGCTCCCCCACCACATCTTCGTACTTCTCAGCACCGTGTCAGTAGAAAAGCACATGTGGGGGATTGGGCTCAAGCTGTCGAATGCTCTGGCGTACCTCCACAGTTGTGTCAACCCCATGCTGTATGGCTTCGTGGGGTATGTCCGAAGCAGAGGCCTCCATCGGCGGGCTTCTTTCTTGGGGTTCTTCCGCAAAGCACTAACTGAAGAGGATGAAGTCTCCGCTGGGGCAGAAGCATCACGGAGCCTTAGTCAGAAGGTCTGAGAAGCAGTGAAATGTTGGGACATTCTCACAGGGAAGGCTTTGCCATGAAGTCCCCTGGCTACTTTACTTTCAGAAAAGATGGGAGGTTGCAGTGCCTGTAACAAGAGATCTGGTGATCAGGAGAGCTGACATTGATTCTGTACCTGTGACTTCCTTGATACCCAGAGCTGGATCTAGGCTTTAAGTGTGCTCTTGAGAAAGATGACCTCTGTGGGCTTCTTGCCTCCACCTAAACACTGCCCATTTTCCTCTGCATCTGGACCTAATTTCAACCACTACCTAGAGCAGTAGGCAAACTAAGGCAGCTGCCTCCAGAGGCAGAATTTGGGTGTTATGAAAACTCTGTTATTTAGTTTAATCACATTGCATTTTTCTGTCAGAGAGGTGTGAGATGAATTTTTATTTTTTGCCTCTGGAGCCAAAGCAACTTGACTAGCCTTGGAAACTTTGCACCTTGATTTAGAGCTGAGGAGTGGGGAGCATCTGCCTTGGGCCACCAAGTGTCCTGGGTCTCCTCTTCTCCAGAAAATAATGGCAAAGATATTTGAAGATGACTATCATATTTCCACCTAGTCTCCTCTCATCCAGACTAAGCATACCCAACTCCCTCAACCATTCCTCATAAGGCTTGGTTTCCAGACCCTTGATCATCTTGGTCACTCTGCACACCTTCCAGCTTGTCAATATCCATCTTAAATTGTGGTGCCCAGACCTGGTCACAGGACTCCAGGTGTGGTCTGACCAAAGCAGAATAGAGTGGTGCTATTACTTCCCTTGAACTGGACACTATACTTGATGCAGCCTAGAAGAACATTAGCCTCTTTTCTTTTCTTTTCTTTTCTTTTCTTTTCTTTTCACTGATGCATCATGATGTTGACTCATGTCAAGCTTGTGGTCTACTAAGACCCCTAGATCCTTTTCACATGTACTACTAGCAAGCCAGGTGACCCACATCTTATACTGGTGCAACTGGTTATTTCTTTCTAAGTGCAGAACCTTACATTTGTATCTATTAAAATTTGGTTCATTACTTTTGGCCCAGTTCTCCAATCTGTTAAGGTCCTCTGGCATCCCAATTCTGTCTTCTGTAGCATTAGCTACTGCTTCCAGTTTGGTATCATCTGCAAATTGGTCATAGGGCTTCGGTAAATTTTGAAATTGGATTTGAATTAACTCTTGGCTTTAATAGGATGCATTTGATGTGAATTTAATTTTGGCTTGTTTTCTATTTTGATATTTGCTGCATTCTGTTATATTGACTTCCATTCCGATCTGCTAATTGAGTTGTTGTTTTCTGTTTTGCTGTCCTATGCTATGGCTTCCCTAGGGAAAGCAAAAATGCAGGATATAAGCAGCAAATAAAATGGAAGAGAAAGGACACTCTGGAAATTTCAGCTTAGTGTGAACACGTGCAAAATTGCCTTTGAAGAAGTTGTCTGTCCCCATCGCCGCCACCACCTGGTTTCATTATCCCTCGGCCATCTGTACTCAGGGAGGTGTGTGTTACAGCTTTCTATCCTCTAAAGGTCACTCTCCTATCCTTTCAGGACTACCTCATAAACAATACACAGTCTAGACAGTCTCTTTCCAAAGAACAGATATATTATATTATCCATCAACCCAATTTGTCTTCCTTTTTCTCTGTCTTTCTTAGAAGGTTCAATTATTGCACACATAAAGTTCCTACTCAACTACATTCTGTCTCATGAGGCCGTTCCATTCCTTTTGATAAGGCTTGATCCTGACCTGCATTTTCCTGCTGCCTAATCCCTGGGTCTCTGCAGGGCCCATCATGGGTGCAAGGGTGTATCTTTGGAAATGGCAAGGCAATGTGTTTAGCAAGAAATGCTTGCTCAAAGGCATTTCTGTTATCTCAGCAAATCACCTGGGGCTGTACTCTGAAACATTGGCTGGAGATTGAGAGTAGATTAAAAAAAAATTCCAGAATTTTAGACTGGGAAGGGACCTTGGGTGGAGGAATCTACCCATTTCAGTTTCTCTCTGTTTCTCATTTCCCCCCAATCTTAAATTAAGATATTCACATTTCCACTTTATCTTGCAATTCTTTTAAACACAAGAATGCCCCTGTCAAGGTGGCCAATATTCAGGGGTCATGTAGGGCTGCCATATTTCAAAAAGTAAAAACCAGGAAACCCCAAAAGTTGTTGAGTTGAGCTTTTTTTTTTTTTTTTTGGAAACCCAAAAAGGTGTTCTACCTTTGAAATCTTGGTAATGACTGGGAAAACCCAGGTATATGGACAGGGGTGGGCAGGACACTGCACAGTCCAGATGCCCTTCCCTATACCCCAGACTTCCCTAATTCCTCCAGCCCCTTTTGTAAATGTCAGGGTAATCATAACACGTCCTCTGAAAATGCCAGCTCAGCAAACGCTCTAATCTCCTCATAATTGCTATTATACAACCTCACCGGCTAGGTACAGAGTGCCTGCTTTCAGACCTGGGTTTATATTGCCACCTAGAGGCAAGAAGAAGCATCAAGGAGATATCCCTTCTGCCGGTTCCGCGTCCTTCGTTCATGTAGAAAAGTCTTTCTGTACAACTACATCGTGAACTAGAATACACCATATAAAGAGTGCGGGAAATCGTTCAAATGACTGGCTAATTAAGCAGCTGCAAAGGTCTGTTGATTAAATGTATTCCTAGATGTACCCACAAGTCAGTAGCAAGGATGCCTGCCAAATCTCTGCTGGAAGAGTCTTCCACAGCATTGAGGCTAGTGGCACTAAATGCCCACCATCTAGTTGAAGCCAGCCAGACCTTTGTAACATGGGGAGGTGGGCAACACACACAAACCCTCCAACATTCCTCAAATCAAATTCATGAGTGTAACAGAATGAACTGTGTCAATGGTGGGTAATTTACCATTCCTCCTGGTCAACAGTGTAGCCTTACTAATAAAAATGTGCGGAACTCAACTCTTGCAAATGTGGGATCTTGACAAAATATCAAATTTCTGTTTTCGCAAATTAACTGTGCAAGGCCCCTGAATCGCTTTGGGGCCCACATCCAGGTTAGACTGCCCTGGACCATGCCATGTCACATCAAGGTCACTCCGAAGCGCTGGATCATGCCCTGAATGGACTTGTGGGAGCCAGGCATAGGACATATTGATATTCACTGCCCAATAGGAAAGCTTCTCAGCAGCTGTTTTCCTGTTCTGCTAGTGACGAAGAATTATATGTAACTCAAAACCTAGACCAATATAAATTTAATTTCATTGTCCCTTAGAATTCCTCTTATTTTCCAGCGCCTTTGTTCCAGGTTAGTAAAATGTGAAGTAAATTGGCACTGCATAATGTAGAACTTCATAGCTTTGATAGTGATTTCTACTCCCTGTGCCAGATGCTACCGTGTTTCCTTTGCCAAGGTAGCTCTGACCCTTCGATCTCTTCCGGAGCCAACGCCCCACCCTTCTTCATCATCAACTCTCTGGGCTCCAAGGTTGCCCTTGGCAACTCAGGAGAAGCTTAACCTGTGAAAAGGAAGGCTCCTACGGGACTCAGATACAAGCTGCCTGTCTTGGAAACTGCTTACAGGTGGCCTTTCAGGAGAAGCAGCAGCTCTTCGGAACATTTGCACAAGCCGTGCCAGAAAGGACGCTTTCTCCCCAAGAATGCATCGCTTATAAAGCGTAGAGACTGAGCTGTCCAAAGAGCCTAAGAGCATCAAAGAGCTTCTGTTGCTGATCTCCCTGCAGTCAGAGCCTGGCGCGGGCGGGGCAAGGAATCCGCATCGCAAAGCTTGCGCCACTTTGGGATGCTGAAATCAGCATAGTCAAGCGGGGCTGGGCTTCCAGAACAACGTGAGGAGGACGCAACACGGCAGGTGTGCGCCCCGCAAACCAACCCAATGGGACTACCTTGGAAGGGCGCATAACTACCCTGTTGCGTCCTTCTCGCACGGCTCTCCCCGAGCGGAAGAGAGGTGCTTAATGGGTCTGCAGTAGCGGAGGAAAGGGCGGCACTGGGGCTGTAGGGCGTCCCAGCTGCCGCCTCCCTCCCAGCCACCCTCCAGCCCGAAAAATGATAAATAGAAGTGGGGAGAAAGCGTGGGCGTAGCCAGGATTTATGCTGGGGGGGGGCAGAACCTCAGTTAGTTATTTTTATTGATTTACTTGATTGAGGGGCAGATTCCCGCCCCCCCCAATCCAGTTCTGCTTGGGACAGTGCCTTCCTTTGTTTGTCCTCCTCTTCGAGACGGATTTAGTCCGGATCAGCCTAACAGAGGGACTTGCTGCCAGGAACAGCCCCCGTGGTGCGCAGCGTGCGAGAGGCGAGCTGAGCATCTCCCCGGCTGGGTGGTGCCTGTTCCACTCGCCTTGCCTCAGCTGCTCCGTTTTGCCCTCGCCGTGGCTGCCTCCCTCCTTCCTTCCTGCTAGCCGCCAGGCCCCAGCTCCTGCCTCCTCCTCCTAGTGTCGTCGGAGGCTACAGCAGGGGTAGGCAACCTAAGGCCCGTGGGCCGGATGCGGCCCAATCGCCTTCTCAATCCGGCCCACAGAAGGTCGGGAATCAGCGTGTTTTTACATTAGTAGAATGCGCCCTTTTATTTAAAATGCATCTCTGGGTTATTTGTGGGGCATAGGAATTCGTTCATTTCGCCCCCCCCAAAAAAAAATATAGTCCGGCCCACCACATGGTCTGGGTGGACTGGCCCATGACTGACCGGCCCATGGGCATGTAGGGGGGGTCCTGCAGTAACCATCCCGTCAGGAGGTCTGTTCCATATGATATAGGAATTGGGCCTTTAGTATGGTGGCACCTACCCTGTGGAACTCCCTCCCACTACATATATAACAGACAGGCACCATCTCTGTTGTTTTTGCTGCATCTATTGCAAACTTCCTCTTCCAGCAAGCCTTTTAAGTGGAGACTTTTTATCCGAGTCTGCATCTGCATTGGCACTATTTTAACTTCTTAAAAAATATATATGGAACTATATTCAAAGAGTGCCAGAGTGTGTGTGTGTGTGTGTGTGTGTGCGCGCAACTGTTTTTTTAATATAGTTTATTGTACCCTTTTCTTGTTTCATGGTTATAACTGTTTCATTTGGTTTCTATAATATAGTTTCTATAAACTTTCGGGTTTGGTGGATGTTTCATTTGGTTTCTATAATATAGTTTCTATAAACTTTCGGGTTTGGTGGATGTGCATCAGTAAACAAGGGGAATTAAGACTGAGAGCTGAGTGGGAGGGTGGTCGTGTAATCTCACTGTATACAAGTTGTACAAGTGACAATAAAGTATTTCAATTTCAATTACAGTGGTACCTCGGGTTACATACACTTCAGGTTACATACGCTTCAGGTTACAGACTCTGCTAACCCAGAAAGAGTGCTTCAGGTTAAGAACTTTGCTTCAGGATGAGAACAGAAATCGTGCTCCGGCGGCACGGCAGCAGCAGGAGGCCCCATTAGCTAAAGTGGTGCTTCAGGTTAAGAACAGTTTCAGGTTAAGTACGGACCTCCGGAACAAATTAAGTACTTAACCCGAGGTACCACTGTATAATTGTATGTTTTATTGTTATAACCCTCCCTGGGGCCCAAACGGGAAAGGATGGGTAAGGAACCTAATGAAACACAGAAATAATACATACTGCCAGACTCTGCCTGCTTAACACAGAGCTATACTGACAAAAATTGGAAGGAGGAGGGGAGACCACATGCGTTACACATCGTTAAACCGCATGTCACAAGGTGACAATAAATGCACACACTGCAGTTAGAACTATCTCAAGCCCAATGCACTGAAAAATATATTTTAAGTTTTGATGAGAGTAATTGGGATAGGATGAAGAGAACATCGTGTTCATTGTCCCTTGGAATTTGAATCCGAGAGGAAGCTGATCTTTTGCTCATTACAGCTGCTCGAAAAGATCTCAGATAGGAGGATTGAAAAAGAGCTTTCAGAGTTACTGCCAGTCAGAGTAAATGACATAAAGCTACATCTGGGCTGAGGAAACATTGGCCCTCCATATGTTGCTGGACTATCAGTGGCTGCTGGCCAAGTTGACTATGTTCCACCTCCACTGTCAGAGACTGAATAGCAGGTCCTAGGCTGTCACTCTAACCACTACACTTCCGCTGCCTCCGAGGGTACCTGGTCCTTCCCTAAAACATGTGGTGATGGCAAAGGGCAGCTTTCCCCAGAATGCTTATGGGCTTTTTGTACTGAAAAGGGAGGCAAGGGTTCATTTGGAAACTCTGCTTGCAAATCAACAAGGCCAAATTGATTTTTCCAGGGGTGAGAAGGAGTAGCCACTTCAGGTCAACATGGTCACTGATGGAAAACCAGGCAGGAACCATTAGCAAACCAAAGAGATCCACACAGTTTGTACGCCAGGGTGTTCCAGGCCTACGCAGTAGCCTCGGGGCCCAGAGACCTCCTTTTGATCTGTCGGCTTTTGAACCCAGCGGCGCTGTGAATTTAAGCAGCTACGTGCTCCCACTGTTAATCTAAGCAAGGGCAGGTCCATCATTTCAGATGCGCTCACCACCTCCTCGACATGCCAGCATCCTCGCCAAGCCCTCGCAGGCAGCGCTCAGAACGCCTGGCTTCCTTTTGTCATCGTCGTCATTTTTCTGGGAACAATGGCTCGAGAGCGTTTGCTCCCTCTCAGTTGCAGAGACGATTGTGCTCACATTGGCAATCATCTCCTGCCGCTTTTAGCCCTTCTGGAAGCTGAACGCAAATGATGCAGGCGATGGCTCATAGCTAACCCCCTCCTCATCCTCCTCGCCTCCCCGCATCCATGCACCTTTCAGATGGATTTGCAGGGAAATTAAGACTTGCAGAAGCAAAAGGATGGATGTTATCCACTGGGACCCAAGGGGTACTCTCCATTTCAGCAGCTAATGAAAGGAAGGCAAGAGAAAAACCGGGGGCCGTTTGTGTGAATTCTGAGTCTTGGCCTTCTGTCGTGGGTGCTTTCCTTGTGATTCCTGCATTGCACCTAGTCATACAGTTCTATTGTTCTATGAGATGGTGCAGCGACTGTCTCTCAACAGTTTTGCCCAGAGCAACGAGGAATGCATGTCACCATTGTTTGGAAATCGGTGTGGCAAGTGTAAATGATTAAAGCATTAGTGGTAAAGGTGAGTGTTAGAGCAACTGTTCGGCATGCAGAATGTCCTGGGTTCAGTCCCCAGTATCCCCAGGTACAGCTGGCAGGGACCCTGGTCAGTGGCGAAGCTGCATGCTCTGGCACCGGGGGTGGAGAGCAGGCGGGGGCGTGGCTGGCACGCATCCTGGGGGTGTGGCGTACGTCCTAGGGCATGGCACACCATCAGTGGGAGCGTGGCACCTAGCATGGGGGGGTGCATGGCGTGTATCCTGGGAGCAGCTGTGATGGTACACCCCTCCCCGATGGTGCCGGGGGCGGTGCACTCACCCCCCGCCCCCATTCCTCCACCAGTGACCCTGGTCTGAAACCCTGGAATGCCCCTGCCAGTATCTGTACCAGTGTAAAAACAGGTAAAGGGACCCCTGACCGTTAGGTCCAGTCGTGGACGACTCTGGGGTTGCAGCGCTCATCTCACTTTATTGGCCGAGGGAACTGGCGTACAGCTTCCGGGTCATGTGGCCAGCATGACTAAGCCGCTTCTGGCAAACCAGAGCAGCACACGGAAACGCCGTTTACCTTCCCGCCGGAGTGGTACCTATTTATCTACTTGCACTTTGACGTGCTTTCGAACTGCTAGATTGGCAGGAGCTGTACCATTGTAGACAGTACTAAACCAGATGCTTCAATGGCCTGAGTCAGTATATGGCAACTTATTTTGCCCCTCTGTAAAGCAGACAGAGTAGAGCCTCCAGCCATAAGCAATGGGCCAGAGGGCAGCTTGGGTCTGATCATAAGGTGTGCAAACAAGGAAGGTTAGTTATTTAAGCATGCCGATTTTCATCTGTGAGTTGCTGGGAGTTGGGATGCGAGAGCTACAGGAAACCAAAATCAACTGCAATAGTCTCGTCTCATGGTGTGCCGTTTCGACAGCTGGAGAGAAAGAAGACGCTGATGAGATGGTGAGATGGATAGGCACCAAGCTGTGTCCCAAAATGCTGTTGCTGGCGGAAAGAAGATGCACCACTTTCAGGGTCCACAGGAGAAGAGATGAGACAAAGGCATCATTCAGTACCAAGGACCAAAATCTCTTCCAGCTGTGCAGGCATGCAGCCACATCCCTCACCCCCAGCAAACTTCCACAGCCTTCTTTTTTTTTTTTTAAGAAAAAATTATTTATGATTTTCATTCTCATACATTTCAATCATTTTACAGTCATTTTAACATTTCAAAACTTGACTTCCTTCCCCCTCTTTCTGCGGATCCTTAAATTTATTTTTACATATTTTCTACATATCCAAATTAACTTAATATGTCCATTTATTCATCTGCTTTCAATATATACGCTTATGAAACTGCAGGTTATTACAATAATCCTGCCAATGTTCTAATCTGTTTACAGTTTGTTTGTAAATATTCAATAAACCATTTCCATTCTTTTATTAAAAGTTTGTTGTCTTGATTTTTCATTTTTCCAGTAAGTTTCGCCATTTCTACATATTCCCTAAGTTTTTGTATCCATTCTTCTTTTGCTGGGACTTCTTCTTTACATTTTTGGGCAAGTAACATTCTTGCCACTGTAGTCGTGTACATGAATAAATTTCTATACAGTTTGGGTAGTTCTGTCCCTATAATTCCCAAAAGGAAAGCTTCTGGGGTTTTTGGGGGGGGGGGGTTTACAAACATTATTTTAAACCTCTTTTTCAGTTCATTATATATCATTTCCCAGCCTTCAAAATGGGGCAGAAGTGTTGGTTGATGGATATCAACATAAATTCGGCAGTTCCGTTATTATTTTCTTATTGCATTTGTTGGTCCCTTCTTACACAGCAAGGTGTCCAATCAACTTACAACATATTTAAAAGCAGGAAAAATCAACAGGAGAAAAAATACATTGTAATGTGAACACCTTTACACAAAACATATTTACATTTAAAACAACAACAACAGCAACACAAAGCAGTCACCAGCACTGTCCAATAACAGCAGCAGAAAGGTTTGGCAGCAAAACTAATAACAAACAACTTCATCATTGTCCATCAAAAGCCGGGTGGGCAGGGCAGTGTTTACCTGGCACTGAAAAGATGTCAAGGAAGGCACCAGGCAGACCTGACTGGGGAGAGTGCTTCACAAATCCGCTCAACTTCCCAGCGGGGAGGAGTTGTGGTGGACCACATGGCCACCCACTCCCCTCCAGGGCTGGCGTCCCCGGGAGGTTCTCAGCCACATCATTCCCCTGCCAGCCAATCCGCTGGCTGGGGAGGGGCATGGCTGGGCCCCATTTAAACTGAGATGCGAGCCAGAGAGCTTCCTCTTGGCTAACTTCCTCGATCTCCCGCCCTCCCTCTCTATTTTCAGGTTTCAAATTTGGCCTTGCTATGGACCTTGGTTGGTCGCCATTGAAGGGCCTGGTAGGAATTTTTCCACTTAGCAAATTGGCATGGGCCATTTGGTTTTCGCCTACCTTGTAGCAATCGTCACAGCTTTGTAAGGTTTGGCAGTTAGGCATTGGTTGATCTTATGATGGGGGAGGTGAGGTGTGGCCATCACCTGCCCCTCCAAGCTTAAGGGTATTCCGTTAAAGGAATCCGGGGGTGTGGATCTTGTCCGAAGTCTGGGGCTGGGCTAGGGCCATGACACTACCCCGTGGGGAACCCAGGGGGAGTTTGAGTTGGTTTGCATCGACGGGGCTCCCCCTACCGGTGGTTGACCCTTACTGGACTCCCTGTGTGACGGGCAGGAGTCAGATATAGTCGGGTCAATTCCAATGCCTAAGCCAATACAGCTCACATTCTGTAACCAATAAAGTTGTGGCCTAAATTTGCCCAATAACATTAACCTAATATCTGTGTCTTTGTGTCTTATTCATCAACGAGGGGGTGGTCTCGGGGTCGTGGCACACAAACAGAGAGCCACAACAAAAAAGACCCTCTGTTTATTTTTGTTCTTGTTTTCTCTTGCCCTCCTTTGCCACTCAAAAGTTTGCCGGTTAGTTGCAATTGCACAAAAGAATAGGAAGCTCCCTTTTATTGGGTTATATCATTGGTTCATTTAGCTCCCTGCTGACAGAGAAAGCATGTTAGCTCAATTGGTTAAAGCATGGTGCTGATAATGCCAAGGTCACTGGTTTGATCCCAATATGGACCATCTGCATATTTTTGCATTTCAGGGGGTTGGACTAGATGACCCTTGAGGTCCCTTCCAACTATGATTCTGTGACAGGCAATCAAAATGTGGTATCTGAGTGAGTATGGGTTTCTCATTTCTCCAATCTTTAAGTTCAAGTCCTCCACATTTCCATATCAGTTTGTGATTTTTTTAAAAAGTACCGTACTTATGAAAATGCAGTTTTGGTGATATGTGTGTTTATATGCACACTGTGATGCTTTTTATAAAAAAAAACCTTGTGAAAATTCATCAGCATTTTAGTGTGAATTTCTTCTAAAATGCACTTTTATATGCATTTTTGCCTAATGTACACATTGTAGCAGAATGACACCCCCCAAAAAATTTTTTTCATGTTATTTTCATTGGCATGTTCTATCTATATTCGCTTTACACTAGTACATGTGTTTTGGGGGCAAATTACTTGACTGGAGCCCTGCGTTGCAAAATTTGGAGGCATGTGAATTTCAAAGGGTGGCTGTGTTTTGGTACTCAGGTTCTTTCAGAAAGTGCAAATTAGGGAGGCTTGCTTTGAAATGCAAACTGAATCAAACTTCTCCCCCATCCCTATGTGGGCACCTGCCTCCAAAGTCTTACCCTGACATCTACCAGAAGAAGAAGAAGAGTTTGGATTTGATATCCCACCTTTCACTCCCCTTCAGGAGTCTCAAAGCTGCTAACATTCTCCTTTCCCTTCCTCCCCCACAACAAACACTCTGTGAGGTGAGTGGGGCTGAGAGACTTCAAAGAAGTGTGACTGGCCCAAGGTCACCCAGCAGCTGCATGTGGAGGAGTGGAGACACGAACCCGGTTCCCCAGATTACGAGACTACCGCTCTTAACCACTACACCACACTGGCTCTCAAAAGAAAACATGTCCAGAGAAAACATGTCTGCGTGCCTCTGAGGCCTCCTCTCTACACTGATGGCCCTGATTGTGGTGGCAGATGTTTCAGAAAGATGGCAGAGAAGGAGACAGCCGGTGATGAGCCTGATAAGAAAGACAGTTGGGGACTTGGTGCATTTTGCACTGAGGGGAGAACAAAAGAGAAGAGGGCTGCCGAAGAAGACTTCAGAAAGCTGGAGAGAACAGCCAACAGTTGGGTAACAAAGACCCCCCAATGTCTAAGGTACGAGGTCCAGGGTTATGGGAAAAGATGGAAAGGGAGGGAAAGGCCAATATGAGGTGTCTCAGTCCTCTGAATGTGGATGCATAAGAGAGGGTAGTAGCCCAAGCCTAAGCCTGGTTTCCCAGGCCAGATTTAACGTAAGAATCTAGTAAATGGGTCAGATAGTCCACCAGTTTGTCACAAGAGCCACCCAGATGCCCATGGAAAGCAGGGATGCAGGGCTTGAGTGCAATTCCCAGTGACTGGCATTCAGAAATATACAGCCTTCATCACGCAGGAGGTCCCAGCTTCAATCCCTGACTTTTCCAGGTAGGACTGGAAGAGATTCCTTGTCTGAAATCCCAGAAAGCTGTTGCCAGTCAGTGTATACTAGTCTAGATGGGACCTCTATAAGTCCCTTTAGAAATGACATGGAATTGTTCCAGGCCATCTGGGCCTCTGTGAATCTCCCTTTTGATTTATAAGTGTAAAATAAATAACAGCAACACCAACCTGTGATTGTAAGTGGCTTTAAACTGTTTTTAGCATTGTGTTTTAATTGCTGTAACCTGCCCTGGGATCTTAGGACGAAGGATGAAGGCATCTTACTATGACGGTCATGGGAGAACATAGGAATCATGGCTAGGAGCCACTGATAGTTTTCTCCTCCATGAAATTGTCTAGCCATGGCCATCACAACATCTTCTAGAAGTGTGTGACTCGGGGAACTTGTGTGCCTGTGGCTCCAGGTTTCTTGGGAATGGGACTGTCAACTATCCACCTAGCAGTTTAAACCTGTGTTTCCCAAACTTGGGTCTCCAGCTTTTCTTTTCTTTTTTGGACTACAGTTCCCATCATCCTTGACCACTGGTCCTGCAAGCTAGGGATGATGGGAGTTGTAGTCCCAAAACAGCTGGAGACCCAAGTTTGGGAAGCACTGGTTTAAAGGAATAATATTGTGGACGACGCTGTGCCAAAAGTTTCTGCTATGTTCCCCCACCTCCCATCCAACCGTTCTCCAAACTTAACTCAGAAATTAAGTCGAATTTCAAGTTTCACACCTCAGATTCAAAATATGGACTTGGGAACTGGAATTTCTCCATGAAAATCGGACACCAGTTTGAAATCTGCACACACACCCTTGCCTATTCATTCCAGTTCTGTGATACCAATATGGCATTTGTGTGGGCGTTTTGTTTTGTTTCAGGCCAAATAGAGAGAGAGAAAGAGAGAAGTGGTAAGTGAACCTGCGAAGGGATGGATCCTCTCCCCTTCTTCCAACCTGACAATGACACAGACTTTCCACCACCCACCAACAGTGACATGTTTGACTACAACTGGACAGGAGAATGGCTCCTAGACCCTCCCTCTGATAATGCCCACATTTTGGCAGCAATGAGAATGTTTTCCTTGACAATCTACACCATCACCTTGCTCTTGGGGGCCACGGGCAATGGCCTTGTTATCTTCCTCACCGGTTTCCACATGAAGAAGACCGTTACCACCATCTGGTATCTCAACTTGGCTGTGGCTGATTTCATCTTCGCCCTTTCCCTCTCCACCGAGATAGCTTATGTGTCTCTGGGTTATCGCTGGACTCTGGGGAGGCTGATGTGCAAACTCAACACCGTGGTTCCCCTCTTGAACATGTTTGCCAGCGTCTTCTTCTTAACAGCCATCAGTGCCGACCGCTACACTGCTGTGGTCCACCCAGTTTGGGCCTTGAACCACCGCAGTCTCCAGCTTGCTTCCCTGGTGGCTGTGTTCGTCTGGGTAGCAGCCTTGGCTCTCAGCATCCCGTACTTCAGCTTCCGCGACACAGAAGAGCTAATGGATGGCACTATACATTGCATCTACAGCTTCCATTTGCAGGATGAGGGCAGCCTAAGGACACACCGTCTCATGGTGCTTGCTGAATTCGCGCTTGGCTTCCTAATCCCCTTCGGCATCATTCTGGCCTGCTACTGCGCCATCATGATCAAGCTAAGGGGGAAGATCTTTGGCCAATTTGGACGATCCTTCAAGATCATAGTGGCAGTGGTCATGGCCTTCTTCTTCTGCTGGTTCCCCCACCACCTCTTCTCCATTCTCGAAACACTGGAAGACGATAGCCTTCAAATGCAAACCACCCTAGATATTGGCACCCCACTGGCTGAGGGCCTGGTCTGCCTCAACAGCTGCCTCAATCCCATTCTGTATGTCTTTGTCGGGTCTGACGACAAAAAGACCAGCCGCCGATCCCTCTTCCTGGCCTTTAAAGGAGCTGTCAACGACAAGTGGGCCTTCACACCTTCTTTCCCCAGCAACAGAACCTCCAGCTCCACTTCAGGAGTGGAGTCCAGCATGGTTTGAGACTTCCTTTTCACAAGTTTATGTGTAGTCCATGTTCCTTAAACCCAAAAAACTTCTGCCTGGTTTTGCAAACTAAACAAATTAGGAGAAGGGTTCCTTCCAGAAGACCTGTTTCTTGAGCATTCATCCTGATCTGCTTGCAGGAAGATATGACAACACTGACTACAGAATGAGCATTCATTCTCATTTGTTTGTGGAGAGGTAAAATGATGTTGTGTCAAGGCAAGTGTTACAGGCTGTCTCCCCAGCACTTTCCTTATTACAAAAAGTCTGATATTTTGGGCATAGGGGGTTGTTGATTGCACAAGTTGAAATTGCCAGTTTGTGATGGACTCCATGGGCGTAGCCAAGGGGGGCCAGGGGGGCAGTTGCCCGCCCCCGATCAAGTAAAACAATAGCAATACTTAACTAACTGACCAAGCACATCGGTTCTGCCCCCACTAACAAAAGTCCTGCCCCCCCCCCACAAAAATCCTCGCTACGCCCATGATTGACTCCCAGAGTGTTGTCATTTTCAGGTGGAAAAGTCCTGTGCAACTTGACAGAGATCTCTGTTAGACTCCAGAATGAGCGTTTTTGGCAAGTTGTACCCAGATTTGGGAACTCCCTCCCATGGCACCCTCTCAGCCAGCCACCAAACTTTGAGTTCCTGGCAATGCTTCCACCTGTGAGGTTAGCGTGTTTTATTCTGTTTTGACTCTGCTGCAACTGGCTTTTAGTTATCATTTGCTGCCTTTTAAAAACAAATCCTTATTTCCTTCTTGCAATATTCATGTTATATGCCTTTATGTGTGCTTCTGCAGTTGTCAGCCGTCTTGTGCATTAAGTGTGGAAAGGCACAATATAAATATTAGTAATTAATCCATGAATGTCTTTTACATATGCTGTTCCCAGTGCCGGATTTACGTATAAGCTAAACAAGCTACAGCTTAGGGCCCCACTCTCTTGGGGGCCCCAAAAAAATTTAAAGGGGAAAAAACTGGATGTACATTTCCAAAATATAAGATAAAAAACAAATAAAATAAAACCTACATACAGCAACAGTGTTTTGTGTTTTGTAGGCTCCTGTGATGTAAGAAATGGGCCCCGTCTGCTAGCCTGCTCCCTAAAATATCACTGGTTTGCTCATTTCTATATCAATTACTCTGATAAACTACATATTTTGTTATGTGCAAATGTCTTTAGATACCTATGATTAAATTATTATTAGGTCCATATATTACCATATAGCATATACGGTATTCAACACAAAAAACAGCATCAATTTGTTGTTGACAAAGGACAGCTGGACATATAAAGGGCCCCATTACCTTCAGTGGCTTAGGGCCACATAAAACCTAAATCCGGCCCTGGCTGTTCCACTTCTGCTATCTGGGTGAAGCAGCAAAGGGCTACAGCAGCCTGAGGGCCACATTCCCTCTCATGCAACCTCTGGGGCCACATCTCAGTGGTGGGCATAGCAATGAATACAAATGTTGCCTTTGGACAGCACACCATTTCCCACAGACATTCACATGTTCCTCTCCGTCCTTCAGCCAAGCAAGAGGCACCATCAGAGTTTAAGGGCACATTCCAGCCAGGCAAAAAAACATTCAAGGAAGGTGGACAGTGAGGCCAAGGAGGAATGTGTCCAGGATGAGTCCCAAGGGCCGGGTAGAGGGGCCTGAGGGCCACATTAGCTCCTGTGGTTTCCTGGGCCCAGTGCTTTTTTTCTTTAAAAAAATGTTTAGGAGTGCTCTCATTTTCCTGCTCATATTGAAATACTACCCCTCAATGAGGCTAAACTAAGATTCACAAAGTGCTTATGGGTACGTCTACCTCTGCGTCCCCCCAGAAAAAAAGCACTGCCTGACCCTGAGCTGTTGATGACCCCTGAAATCCATCTTCCTGGCAGACAAAAGTTCTAACTTGATTTCTACTATGCCTCTGTCACCGGATGCCCTGTGTCCCTGTGGCCCTTGTCCTTTGCTCCAGCGCCATTGAGCTGCTAGTCAGAGAGATTGAATGGCGGACACATGGAACTGAGATCAGAGCCCAGAATCTTCATGATGGAGACAGCAACATCCATCAATGGACCCTTGGCACGGTGACATCAGTGCTCCGCCACTGTGCTCCCCCGGCTGCATGCTTTTACCTGGGTTAACAGTCATTGAACTTCAATATTCTACCTTGCTTGCCTGGGTGGAGGTTGGAAAGGTCGGTAGGTGTAGAAAAACTTTTGTGTAGCTGAAATGCACGTCCATTGCTCCACCTGATTTTTGCCTCTGGCCCCACCCCCCACTGGCATATGCCCCCCCCCCCGAAGGTTGCCCATAGTGGAATTTGGCCCTCAGATTCACAGTGTTTCCCCCTTTCTGGTTTAGACTTTGAGAAGTCCCTATGAACTTATTGCTGCTGCAAACTCAGAGGCAGGAGCCATAAGATGCTGAGTGTAAAATGTCCCAAGGCACTCTTAGAACTTGAAACTGGCAGGTCCTTCCATCCATCTGTACATGCATCCCCATGTGGATGGGGAAATATAGAGGGCACAGTGGGATCCCACTCCTGGATGTCATGCGCTCATGTGAATGCCTACCAGAGCAGTTGGGGGCCCTGGGAAACTAGCCTGCTTTTCCTAAGTTCCCAAAGTCTATGTGCATGCAGTTGTGGGCTGCCAGGCTTTGTTCAGACATTCAGATGAGCACGTGGAAGTTGGTGTCGGGCTAGTGGGCCTGATCCAACTTTTCCACCTCCATGCACCTGCAATGCAAACATGCTCCAGGGGAGCATGGGAAAGGCTCCAAGGCGTTAACACCAGTGGGGGTGGCTTCATGGATTCTTCCCCCCCCCTTCTTAACCTTCATTCGCCTCCCTCTTTCCCTCATCAACTCAATGCCACCTCCTTTCCACTCAAGGGAATTGATCTTTGAGTTTCAGGATTCTGACGATGTTCCTGGACTCTGACTCCCATCAGTCCCAAGGCAGCAAAGCCACTGGTCAAGGGTGATGGGCATTGTAGCTCAGTAAGATCTGGAAGGTGCTCGCTGGAAGGACAGATCCTGAAGCTGAGGCTCCAATACTTTGGCCATCTCGTGAGAAGAGAAGTCTCCCTGGAAAAGACCCTGATGTTGGGAAAGACTGAGGGCACAAAGAGAAGGGGATGACAGAGGACAAGATGGTTGGACAGTGTTCTTGAAGCTACCAGCATGAGTTTGACCAAACTGCGGGAGGCAGTGGAAGACAGGAGTGCCTGGCGTGCTCTAGTCCATGGGGTCATGAAGAGTCGGACATGACTAAATGACTAAACAACAACAACAACAACAACTGGAAGGCCCCAGGTTCCCCATCCCTGCTTTTTTATATCCCCATTTGCTCCAGAGTGGGTTGATAAGGATCCACTGAAGGGGGAATGTTTGAAAACTAGGACCCCCAAGGACATCTGCCTTACGGGGTGGCAACATACAAAGCAATTTCAAAACCAACAACAATAACATCAAAGCAAATACTTTTATTTAGATACAGGGATACAAGGTCAATGCAGAGTTAAGACAGTCTTGTTTTGTTAAATGGCTCTCCATAAAGCTTATACAAAGAGAGTAATATCAATTTTTAAAAAACCCTAGAATAAAAATCCACATAGCATAGCATGAAATATCAGGTCACAAAAGAATGATACATGCAGTTACACTGCTATTTGTCTAGAAAAAGAGATGCAGGAACTCACCATGAAAGCCTCCCTTGTTCTCTTATAATGGCAATGGCGCCCATCTGAGAGGTGCCAGAACTGAGTTCCAGTGAGTTCCTGCTGGAAGGGGGGGGGAATGTATACACATACTGTAGATCTGGTTGCTTCCAGATGATTTGGACTACAACTTCCCCAGCTCCAGCCAGCACTATATTCTGAATGGATGCATTACACAGACTTGCCCTGGAGGGTGGGGTTTGGAAGCAGAAGGTTTCATACAACCTGGGAGTCTAACTCTACTGAAGATCTGGTCTTGTTGGTCACCAAGCTCTGGCTGCTGTCCTCAGCAAAGGCACTCTCAAATGCAGAGAAGAGTGAGTATCTCAGCCTCTCCTTGAAATCATGCCCCATGAAGGCATACAAGATGGGGTTGAGGCAGCTGTTGACGAAAGCCAAGCTGCTTGTCAGCGGAACGGCGATGATCAACACCAAAACCAGGTCTACATCTTCTCGTGCTTTCAGCTCAATGAAAGAGAAGATATGATAGGGAAGCCAACAGACAAAGAAGGCCACAATCACTGCTGTGATGACCTTGAAGGGCTTGTTTGATTCGGTTAGCTGGTTCCTCCTCAGCTTCAGAACAATCGCCCCGTAGCAAATGATGATGATGTTGAAGGGGATGAAGAAGCCAAAAATGAACCGGCTGGCGATCATTGCATTATGCTGCTGAGGGCTACCATATTTGCTGTAGCAGTTGGTCTTTTTTGGATCATTGTGATGTTGGGCTGTATCCCTGAAATAGAGGTTTGGAGAACACAGCACCAGTGCCAAGATCCAAACACCGAAGGCCATGAAGGAAGCCAGCCTGGGTGTCCGATGATTCTGAGCCCACACAGGCCAGAACACAGAAACGAACCGGTCGATGCTGATGACTGTGAGGAGGTAGACACTGGCATAGAGGTTGAGGAAGGCAAGGGTAGAGTTCAACTTGCATATTGCCAGGCCAAAGGGCCAATGAAAGTCCAGGGCTAGGTAGATAATGCTCAGGGGAAGGAAGAAAGTGAAGGCAAAGTCAGCAATGGCCAAGTTGAGGAACCAGACAGTGTTGACTGTCCTCTTCATACGGAAGCCAGTAATGAATATAACCAGCCCATTACCAATGACCCCTAACAGGAAGGCAAGGCTGTAAATTATCATAGCGACAATGTTCAACCTTTTTTGCAAGGTTTTTCCAAACATATATGCCTCCTCGTCGTATTCATATTCATAGTGAAGATCTGAGGGGTCTGCATAAGAATTATTAATGGGAAGGTTTGTCAGTGCAGTTGTACTCTCCATTCTTCTTGACTGAGAGTCTTCTTTACTGCCGTCTTCTCCCTTATCTTGGCTGAAACAAAGCAAGAACATGAGGTCCAATGTGTAGGAGAAGGTCCAGCATGCTGTTCACCACAGCAACCCAACCAAATGCCTCTGGAGGCTCACAGGCAGGACAGAGGTGACCTATACAACACCCTTGTCCCCAGCATGTGGTATTCAGAAATATCCTGGCATAGGATACCGCGGAAAGGCAGAATACAAATAAATGTTGATGACAACCAGTAAATGAGAATTCTCAGGTTTTCTCCCCCATGCCACAAGCCTTCAAAAAAGTCAAGACCAAACACTCACCCTTCAGCTCTCAGCCTGTCCTCTCCCCTCTGAATGTCGATTGCTGCAGCCCTGTGCCTGGAAGGTGGGGAAGGAGCTGTTATTCTAGAGTGAAGGCTGCCAAGGAGATGCTCTGCATTTCATTAGCCCATACAGGGGGGGAAAGGTTGCCTCTGTGTCGCTCTTGGCCCAGGAAAAACAAAAGCAGTAGCAGAGTTGAGAAACCTTTGGGGAGCCGGGGGCCATTTGTCCACGATGACAGCAGCTGCCGTGTTCTCTGCCACAGTTCCTCCGCCTCTTAACGGCACAGGAACATGGTTTTTGAAGAAGAAGAAGAAGAAGAAGAAGAAGAAGAAGAAGAAGAAGAAGAAGAAGGCGGCTTTCCCCTGCAGGCTTCACTTGTTGAATTTCTACCTGCTGTGCAGCTGTCAAAGGACCAGAGTCCCAGCAGGAAGCAGAAGTGGCTACTGGCAGGTACAATGGCACCCACAGACAGCATCTTGGTGACCTCTGGACTAGAGGCTCAAAGGAGCCCGAAGGAAATACACACAAACACACACGTTTGCAGCATGCCTCATGCAACACAATGTACTGGCCTGGGCTCCCTTGCCTCAGGCTCTGCTAAGGAGCCTGACTCCTGGAACATATGAAGTAACAAGACAGAAAAGAGAAAATGTCTCTGATCATGTGAAGAAAACCTGCCCTGCTTCACCACAGAGTGAGAAGAGTCCTGCCTTGCTGACCCAGCAAGCGAGACAGAGCATCAGTGTGCACGATAAGTCATGCTGTCAAGGGGTGGAGAATGCCCAGGAATTTACTGATATAGCCTCTGGACCACCTACTCAGTCCCCATCCCCTGCCCCCCAAAATATGCACTTGCTTAGCCAAACAGATGGGAAAGGGAGGAAAGAAGAAACTTCTCCATTCTCCCTTGCTTGTGCGCATTCAGGGTTGGCCAGGGGTTGGCACTGTTGAGCAACGGCCATGGGCCCCACCACTGCAGCTCCTGCTCCTCATTGCTATCAACCCTCTTTGATCTTGCAAACAGTGATAAGGGCAAGAAAATGGAGCAGTATCTCCATCTGGGCAGTTGTGCAGACTGGGCCAGGATGGAGAGGGCAAGCAGTGCCTTGGGCAGGAGCAAGGCCAGATTAAGACCTTTAGAGACCCTAAGCACTTCAAAGATTTTGTTGCTTCCATAAGTGCCTGATTCAAAATATAAACAATAATAAACCGTAAAATAAAAATTTACCTTTCGAAATGAAACAAACCCTAAAATAATGTGGGGGCTTTTGTATATCTCCACTTCATTTCACAACATGAACAGATTAATTACTAGCTTACAGATGAATCTCGTGCTTTAGTGCTTTAATTAATAGAGACAGGTTTTTTTCTCAGAATTTGTAAACTGAAAAGCGGAGTTGCTGGTCCACAGAAAAACCAACAATGAAAATTTTCATACCCTCCAACATTTCTGTGATGAAAATAGGGACATCCCATTCCATAATGATAATTTTACTATTTATACCCTACACATCTTACTGGGTTGCCCCAGCCACTCTAGGCAGCCTCCAACTTATATAAAAACATAATAAAACATTAAACTTTTTTTTAAAGAATACCTAACTTATACAGGACTGCCTTCAGATGGCTCAGGAGTCAGATAACTCCATACCCTCCAACATTTCTCCAATGAAAATAGGGACATCCTAAGGAAAAGCGGGACATTCCGGGATCAAATCAGAAACTGGGATGGCTTCTCTAAATCAGGGATATCCGTGGAGAATAGGGACACTTGGAGGGTCTGAAATTTCTGTGGTGGCCCCCTTTCCTTGTTGCCCTAAGCACGCACTTATTTTGCTTAATGGTTAATCTGACTCTGGACAAGAGACCTCAAAGCCCCTTCAAGACCAGGATCCAGCACTGCATAGATTATGCCAGTGGTGGGGAATGTCAGGCCTTGGAGCCCAAAGTCAACCCTCTTAACCTATCCATCTGTGCCTCAGCCCTCTCCCCAGGCCAGCTCCTAGCGTTTCTGCCCAAATGCCCTTGAACTCTGCCCTTGAACTCTGATCACATGCCTTGCTCCTCCAGAGTGGAGGATGGAGAGTGGGGTTTGAGTGTGTGAAAAAACTAAAGGTAACATTTGTCAATCTCCCTACGTTTGTCTCCAGACCCACCCCAATTACTATTCTTATTTAATTTATTAAAAATTTAAAATTACTAATTAAAAAAAAAAACACAACACAACAGCAGATCAGAGCAAAAGTTTCTACATTCTCTCTTCCTCTTTGGAGATCAAGAGCAATTGCAACACTGTGGTAACTTCCTGTCAGCCATGACCCTGTTACCTTGATCTGAGGCAAGACCAACATTTCTCAGGTGAAAATAGGGACATTCTATTCTACATCAGTAAGCTTCTCCCGCCATACACATGTATGTCATATCTGCATGTCATCTACATGTATGTCATACACATCTGTCACCTTGAGCCAATGGCAACATCTCTGCCAAAGCTGCCTCACGGGATTGTTGTAAAGAAAAGAAAAAGTGTGGTGGAAGGGATCGTGTGTATTGCCTTCCGCAGATAAATGAAATGAAACAAAATTTTAGCTGCAAGCTGCCTTGAGTCCCTGTCAGAGGGGAAAGGTGAGTGATAATAAATAATAATAATAATAATAATAATAATAATAATAGAAGACATTGTGAGAATGATCAAGAACCTACCAGAGAGTAAATACTATTGAACTCAGTGGGATTGCAGAGTAAGGCTGAAAAGTCTTTACCCAGTTACCTGGGAGTAAGCTCCATTCAATACAGTGTGACTTACTACTCGATAGACAGTGCAAGGCTCCATTTACAATGAAGGAACAAAGACTCCACACATTTCCTTTAAACATTGCAATTAAAGAACTGAAAGCGTATTGGCTACGGTTTCCTTCAAAATTATAAGAAGGGGTTCGTATGCCACCTTCACCGCTTCCTTCGTTTGGTGCATGCATTTTATTTTCAGTATAAACGTAACTCTGTTTTCCACCTGCACATACACAGCAAAGTCTCCTGTTTCCCCCCAAAAAAGGACAGGAGGTTTTTGGGTTTTTCTGGAGGGACGTGTCTGAACTCTCTACCAAGTTTTATCAAGATGAGGAGGGGAGGAAAAAGGAAAAGTGGGACATTCCAGGATCAAATCAGAAACCAGGATGGCTTCTGTAATTCCGGGGCTGTCCCTGGAAAACCAGGACACTTGGAGGGTCTGCAAGCAGGGGCAAACAGCTCACCATATAGACCTATTAGCTTTTTCTTCCCAGTACCTTTTAGCTGGCAGCCAGGGCAGTATTTCTCCACCTGGATAGCACTTTTTAAGTGCCCATGTAATTCTGGGAACTGTGGTCTGCTGAGGATGCCGAGAGGTGTCAGGAGACCCCCCCCCCATCCCCCTCCCACCGCTACCATTATTCCCAGAGTTCCTTGGGGAGAGGGATTGATGGCTAAACCACTGTGCGAACAGCAGTTCTGCGAATATGACCGTGTTATCCTGCTCTGATAACTGTTCTGTACACATGCACAGAGAGAGATTTTCGGTAATGGCACCCGCCCTGTGGAACGCCCTCCCACCAGATGTCAAAGAGAAAAACAACTACCAGACTTTTAGAAGACATTTGAAGGCAGCCTTTTTAATGTTTAATAGACTATTGTATTTTAATATTCTGTTGAAAGCTGCCCAGAGTGGCTGGGGAAACCCAGCCAGATGGGTGGGGTATAAATAATCTATTATTATTATTATTATTATTATTATTATTATTATTATTATATAAACAGTCTGATACAATATAAGGCAGCTTGTTGTGTTCCTAATTCCAACCTGCAAGAACAGGGGCAGGAAAAAGCAAATTCCAAAAGACAGAAAGCATTTAGGAGATATAGATAGATAGATAGATAGATAGATAGATAGATAGAGATAGATAGATAGATAGATAGATAGATAGATAGATGATAGATAGATAGATAGATAGATAGATAGATGATAGATAGATAGATAGATAGATAGATAGATAGATAGATGATAGATAGATAGATAGATAGATAGATAGATAGATAGATAGATAGATGATAGATAGATGATAGTCTGCCATTGGAGTGTAAAAAGCACAGAGCTTCTATCAAGGAGGAAAAGTATCTCCTGTTCCTCCCAATAATCAAGGTGGCGCTTACCTTAAAGAGAAGAAAAATCTTTTGTGCCGCTGCTGCCTCCAACACAAGGAGAATTCTCTAAATGCAAAGAAGAAAGCAGAAGTGGGAGGATATGTCGAGATGAAAAGTAGGATGTGTCTTTGCGACACAATCCACTTTTACTCCGCAAGTGGTTCCTATAGGAGTTGCAGAACGGGGTGGCGGGGAGAGTCCATCCATCCATTCTCCTCCACCTCAACAGCTTAAAGTGGAAGGCTGTGATGGCCACCAACTCGGATGGCTTTAAAAGAGGAGAGGACAAATTCACGGTAGAGAAGGCTATCAGTGGCCAGGAAATGGCAACTGCAGGAGTGGAGAGCATCCTGCTTGCTGTGGCTCTGCAGATAATGGTTCTGTACACATGCACAGAGAGAGATTTTCGGTAGTGGCACCCGCCCTGTGGAATGCCCTCCCACTAGATGTCAAAGAGAAAAACAACTACCAGACTTTTAGAAGACAGCCCTGTTTAGGGAAGTTTTTAATGTTTAATAGACCATTGTATTTTAATATTCTGTTGGAAGCCGCACAGAGTGGCTTGGGAAACCCAGCCAGAGGGGTGGAGTATAAATAATAAATTATTATTATTATTATTATTATTATTATTATTATTATTATTATCCTCACAACAATCCTGCAAAGTAAAGTAGGCTGAACAATAACAATCGCCCCAGACCTGCCTGGTGAGCCTCGTGTGGCAGAGGGAAACATGAACTCAGAGCTCTCTGGTCCTAGGCTAACATTCTGCCCATCGTGACATCCCCCTGCCCGCTTTGTTTTCTCTTCTCTTTCTTTCAAAGCTGCAGTAATCGGTAGGAGGGGTGGGGAGCTCTCTAGCTTAGTGGTAGAGCATCTGCTTTGCATGCAGAAGGTCCCAGGTTCAATCCCCAGCATCTCCAGGTAGGGTTGGGAGTGACTTCTACCTGAACCCATGGAGAGCCACTGCCAGTCTGACAATCTCCTCTCCCCCATGCTTTTCAACATCTACATGCAGCTGCTAGGAGAGATCATCAGGCGGTTTGGGCTGGGTGTTCATCAGTATGCGGATGACACCCAGCTCTACCTCTCTTTCAAATCAGAACCAGTGAAGGCAGTGAAGATCCTGTATGAGTGTTTGGAGGCAGTTGGAGGATGGATGGCGGCTAACAGATTGAGGTTGAATCCTGACAAGACAGAAGTACTGTTTTGGGGGGACAGGAGGCGGGCGGGTGTGGGGGACTCCCTGGTCCTGAATGTGCCCCCTGAAAGACCAGGTTCACAGCCTGGGAGTCATTCTGGACTCACAGCTGTCCATGGAGGTGCAGGTCAATTCTGTGTCCAGGGCAGTTGTTTATCAGCTCTATCTGGTACGCAGGCTGAGACCCTATCTGCCTGCGGACTGTCTCACCAGAGTGGTGCATTCTCTAGTTATCTCTCGCTTGGACTACTGCAGTGCATTCTATGTGGGGCTACCTTTGAAGGTGACCCAGAAACTACAACTAATCCAGAATGTGGCAGCTAGACTGGTGACTGGGAGTGGCTGCCGAGACCACATAACCCTGGTCTTGAAAGACCTACCCTGGCTCCCAGTACGTTTCCGACCACAATTCAAAGTGTTGGTGCTGACCTTTAAAGCCCTAAACAGCCTCGGTCCAGTATACCTGAAGGAGTGACTCCACCCCCATCATTCTGCCCGGACACTGAGGTCCAGCGCCGAGGGCCTTCTGGCAGTTCCCTTGCTGCAAGAAGCCAAGTTATAGGGAACCAGGCAGATGGCCTTCTCGGTAGTGGCACCTGCCCTGTGGAACGCCCTCCCACCAGATGTCAAGGAAATAAAAAACTATTTTACTTTTAGAAGACATTTGAAGGCAGCCCTGTTTAGGGAAGCTTTTGATGTTTAATAGACTATTGTATTTTAATATTCTGTTGAAAGCCGCCCAGAGTGGCTGGGAAAACCCAGCCAGAGGGGCGGGGTATAAATAATCTATTATTATTATTATTATTATTATTATTATTATTATTATTATTATATAAATGGTCTGATACAATATAAGGCAGTTTGTTGTGTTCCTAATTCCAACCTGCAAGAACAGGGGCAGGAAAAAGCAAATTCCAAAAGACAGAAAGCATTTAGGAGATAGATGATAGATGATAGATAGATAGATAGATAGATGATAGATAGATAGATGATAGATAGATAGATAGATAGATGATAGATAGATAGATGATAGATAGATAGATAGATAGATAGATAGATAGATAGATAGATAGATAGAGATAGATAGATGATAGATAGATAGATAGATGATAGATGATAGATAGATAGATAGATAGATAGATAGATAGATAGATAGATGATAGATAGATGACAGATAGATAGATAGAAATAGATGATAGATAGATGATAGATAGATGATAGTCTGCCATAGGAGTGTAAAAAGCACAGAGCTTCTATCAAGGAGGAAAAGTATCTCCTGTTCCTCCCAATAATCAAGGTGGCACTTACCTTAAAGAGAAGAAAAATCTTTTGTGCCGCTGCTGCCTCCAACACAAGGAGAATTCTCTAAATGCAAAGAAGAAAGCAGAAGTGGGAGGATATGTCGAGATGAAAAGTAGGATGTGTCTTTGCGACACAATCCCCTTTGACTCCACAAGTGGTTCCTATAGGAGTTGCAGAACGGGGCGGCGGGGAGAGTCCATCCATCCATTCTCCTCCACCTCAACAGCTTAAAGTAGAAGGCTGTGATGGCCACCAACTTGGATGGCTTTAAAAGAGGATAGGACAAACTCATAATAGAGAAGGCTATCGGTGGCCAGGAATGCCTGGTTCTGGCAACCACAGGAGTGGAGAGTGCCCTTCTTGCTGTGGCTCTGCAGTAAAGCAGGAGATATGCATACAGAAGGTCTTAGCACATTCAGATAGGGCTGTGAATGCCCCTTGCTTGAAACTGTAGCCACCCCCTGCCAGCCCGTGGTATTTCTTAATTCCAGTGGCTCCGTCAATATGCATGGCATACACAGAGAGAATGAGATCAGCCCCTAGCTTGAGAAGCTATTAAAAAGAAAGAAGACCTGCGAGAAAATGTCACAGAACCGAGTGCTCCGGTGCATCGTTCTTGCCAGCCATGCCCTCCTCAGATTACTCCATTCCATCCCATCCCCTTCCCTCTCTTGGTGTTCCGTGGCCACGAAGCATGCTCAGCCTTCTGTGGCTGTTTCGGGAAAGGGACTTGGCTTTTCTTCTCCTTTTCCTAAGAAAGAAAAGAAAAACTTCTGCCAACCTTGTGATTCTCCCCACACGATGATACCTCCCCCTTGTACTTCAGTAGTTTTCCTGCCCAACCTAACCCCTGAGTTTACCATTTGCTTTTTTTAAATAATTAAATCTTCCATAGAATTGCATAACTCCAATCGCATATATTGGGTTTTTTGATACACATTTTCTTCTTGACTTCCTGACCCTCTGTCCTTGATGTTTTTCTCTTATTATCCCTCATTAATAGCTGCATTAAAATACATCCACATTTATTTTCTAAGCCCTGCAAAGTCCACTCTCTACTTTCTCCCAGTGTTCATATCTCAAATCCTGCACGTGATTTCACATAAGAATGATAATTCGGTAGACAGTCCACCAATGGCTCCCATTCTTTGGCACAGGCAGGGTGATCTCATTCAAATGGTCGGGGTGACCTTTTTACGCTGAGGGCTACTCTTTCTTCTGAGCCATTTTTGTTTTGGTGAGGGAGGGCTGGCACATTGCCAGTAGTGGTTGCGCCTAGAGGCGAACATGGGTAGACCTCCCAATGGGAATTCAACTTTTGCACGGTAGGCTTGTTTCGACACACTCATACTCCTCTTACTGTGTCCTCTAGCCACACAAGCAAGAGGCATCCATCAGAGTTCAAGGATTCATTCCAGCCAGGCAAAAAAGTTCAAGGAGGATGCAGAGCTCTGCTGCGAAAGGGTCTGGTTTGGGGAAAGCGGGTGTGCCTTAGAGAAAACCCCAAGGGCCAGGCAGAGAAGGCTGCAGGGCCACATTTCTCCCTGAGGTTAGCCTTCCTTGCTGGAGAGGGTTGTCATTCAGGGAACTGAAAGTGATGTCAATTGTCCACTAAGGCTTGTCTTGCCGATGTCAGCAGGAAAAGGAAAGGAAATTTACAGAAAGCGTTGCATGGGGAAGAGCTGAAGAAGCAACAGGCAAAAATAATAAAAATGTTGCAATCCGTTTTATAAGGCTGTCTTACAACAATGATATCACTGCCACATGCAAACTGACTTTCCCCTATATCTCAATATGGTGCAACGGGGATGGGCAGAAAGTAGATTTACTGGTAGAGAACTGGGGGGGTGGGGGTGGCTTTCAGTAGATCAGAAAGGCTTTCTGGCTCACAAGTCCCCTCCAGAAGTCCTTTTTATAGCACGCTATGATTATGTGTGCTCATGGTGCTATCAAGGAGGCGACTTGCAATCCTGTTTGTAATACTGTTTGTTCTTGCAAAAGTCTTGGGCTGGTCACACTGCTCCACTTCCAAGCAGTGCATATCAATCTGCCCCAGAGGCTGAGGGAATCTGGTAGATTCCTGACTGTTTGGGCAGTCATATTCAGCGGCTATATCCCAGCTTAGTCGCTGAGATCATCTGCAGGAGCATCACTAGTCATTCCCAAGTTGGTGTGGCTCATTTTACAGCAGCAAGAAACTGAGCCTTTAATATCCTTGCCCCAGCCGTCTGGAATACTCTGCCAACAGAGATTCAGCAGGCACCTTCTGTTTCAAGTTTTTAGCTCCTGCTGAAAACTCTTCTCTTCTGTCAGGCTCATGCAGGCAATTAAGAACACATCTTTCCACAATAGCTAGCTGATTTCCAATTTTTGAAACTTCCATATGCTTTCTTTCGTGTGTGGTTTAATATGCTGTATGTACTGTTGTAAACCGCTCTGATTTTTTTAGATGAATAGCGGCATATAACTTTAAAAAAATAAAAATAAATATCCCATAACTTCCTGCAGAAATCCCATAACTTTTTATACCGCAGGTGTCCTGCTTTTCGTTTAGTTCCGCTTTTGTTGTGCTATGGCCTGTCCGCACATTGGTAATGTGTTAGCATTGGGGAAGCATTGCTGAACAAACTAAAGCATGAGTTTGCAACCCGTTTTCTGCTGTGGAAAGGGGCAGTGCACTCTGCTAAGTAAAGGAACTTCCTAGCACAAGTTAGGAAGGATATTAATAATATATCCTCTCCTGCCACCCTCAACATTCCCACACATGGGAAGGGGGGTGGAAGAGGAAGGATACGAACCCTTTGATGAACCATCATCTCCAGATCCCTAGCTTCCATTTTTTTTTAAGACATGTAAGTTTCTGGGATATGTAGAACCTAGGGCAAAATGTACAAACACGTTTCTTCTCATTTGTGAAAAAGAGAGCGCTCGATAAATTTGCCTGTCTCAGGCATGGCTTTAGGGTAGCACAACCAGGGCAGCTGCACTTACTTGGTGCTGTGCTTTAGGGGGCACCATAGCAATGCTATAGAAAGGAGTGTGAGAGGCAAAGGGTGCTGAATTCTAGTGTAGCACAAGCGGCCATTGAAATTTGGCCACCCAAAGTCCACCACGGCCAGCTCCCGCTTTCAGTATTTTACTTTCCCTGCCCAGGTGGCGGGGTGGGGAATCGTGCAGGTGTCCTTCTAACTTCCTCCTGCCTTGAATTACCTCGCAGAAACTTGGAGCGAGACCTTTTGTGTGGTTGCCCCTGTTTTGTGAAATAGCACTCCTGTTGAGATACAGTATGACAAGGGTCCACTATCTGCGCTTTCCAGAAACAACTGAAGACGGTTTTTGTTCCGACAGGCTTTCCCAGCTGGGTAAATGGACCCTTACCACGAGTTTCCGTTTGTTAGGGTTTTTAATTTAGTTTTAGATGCGCCAGTTGTTTTTGTGTGTTTTAAACTGCTTTAAATGATCTCCTGCGTAAATCGCACCGAGGCGGTGGTTTAGAAGGCGATTAACAAATCAACAATAACACTAATAAGATAAGAATGTTATACTGTGGAAATGTAGAAAGCAATGAGGGGAGGGGTTTTGTGTGTGAAAGGACTGTGAGCTTCATTCAGTTCTGAAACTCAAAAAGAAACCCCAAATTCCCTTTTTCTGCCTTTGAATGTGCATCTCATGCACCTGGCTTGATAGATCTTAGGGGTCTAGTAGTGTGGGGGGTAGTGGGTCACAGAAGTCTGAGTTTGCCCACCCCTGCTGTGCAAAACAGCACCGGGCTTATACTTCAACAGCTCGTTTTGGAGAGAAATGGCCAAATCATTGATTTCTCCACCCTTTTGAAGCCATACAATACAAAGAGAGATGAGAGAGCAGCAAGGCCTTGCCTGAAAGTGCTAGGTCATTTATTTTATCTCTCGTGTTCCCCCCCCCCCCCGCTCTTCATCTGTAAAAGACTCTCAGGGCGTTTTGCCAAGATCAATAAGTAAGACAGTCTCTGCCTTCAGGATGACAATCAAAAAGACAGGCTAAGCAAATAGAAAGGGAATATGAGGGAGCAGGGAGAAAACTGGGTACACATTTAAAGCACATCGCTCCCCCAAAGACTCCTGGGAACTGTAGCTTGTTACAGGTATACCTGAAGGAGCATCTCCACTCACAGAAGACCCATGAATTCCAATAATAGCTAACACCAAATACAATCCCATACATTTAAAGCACTCTTACACCACTGTCAGTGAAGAATCCTGGGAACTGTAGTTTGTCAAGGATCTCCTCTCACCCCTCAGGACCCTTTTAAAAAAGCTACAGTTCCCATGATTCTTTGGGGTAAACCGTGGCTGTATAACATTATAGAATAATGCTTTGAATTATTGCCTTTTGTTAGAACAGCAAGAAATAAAACAGCAGATATTAAGGAAGGTATCTTGGCAAGAGAACTTTTGCATATCCCTGAATGCAAAAGGCAAATTCCAACTTCGTGACAAGGGAGAAGTTTGGTTTTGCTGTTTAGGCTGAAAGGCCACAAGAAATGACAGGAAACACTGCAAAATTGGGCAACGGTAGACGCAGATCAAGGAGGGGAAATGAAGTCTTTCTTCACACAAGTGTGTAATGGAATTTGCCACCATGAGACGCAGCTTTTTCAAAGTTTCATGTTCAATTCCTCCTCATTCAGGCCACCGACAGTTTAGAGAACTGTTAGTCAGCTTTTAACAGCTTTGCAGATTACAGCTGTGTACACAATATATAATTAAAGCACATTCAGAGAACATTCTTTCTCCTCAAAGAATTCTGGGCACTGTAGTTAGTAAGAGTTGCTGGGAATGGTAACTCAGTGGGGAGTAAACTACAGTGCCCAGAAGTCTGTGCAGGGAAGGATGTGTTTTGAATATGCTTTAAAGGTACAGTCACAGAACTGTGCAGTTGTAAGAGACTCCAAGGGTTATCTAGTCCAAACCCCTTGCAATGCAGGAATCACAGCTAAAGAATCCATGACAGACGGCCATCCAACCTCTGCTTTAAAACCTCTAAGGAATGAGAGTCCACCACCTTCCAAGGGAGTCCTTCCCACTGTCCAATAGCTCTTACCATCAGAAAGTTCTTCCTAATGTTTAGTTGGAATCTCCTTTCTTGTACAGTAGATGAGAGGTTGATACTGTCATCGTTTATTGCATTCGCCTGCTGCTTTATACAGAAGGAAAAGTCCCAAAGTGACTTGAAAGTCTCGAAGCGACAATATGAAATGCAACAAATAAAAGCAATTCAAAACCAGAACATTGAATACAAAATATACTGATCCAATAACATATTAGTAAGTGCAAGTCTTATCCACTTCGCTAAAAGGTGAGCAGCAACGTAAGAAGCTAATGCGATTACCAAGGGCCTGAGTGAATAAAAAGGTGCCAGGTGTGTCTCCTTGGGGGAGAGCATTCAACAGACAGCGGAGCCACCACTGAAAAGACCTATTTTCATTCACCTTCTGCACCTTCCTCAGGTGGGGCCTACAGAGAAGGCCTCTGATGAAGATGGCAGGGTCTGGTCTGGATAAAATTTCGGACAATCTTATCTGCATGGATCTTTTTCTGATCGTCATCTCGCTCCTTGATCTCGATGAGGTTGGGAGTTTCAGTAAAAAACACAAACACTTCTCACATATTCTAACTACTATGGATAATTTTATATATATATATATATAATGTTACACACATTCTATGCATTAATACTCATAAAATTACCAGTACAGAAACAGAAATGTACAATACATAGAACAGTAAAAAATAAGCCTTTAAAATGTACAAACTTGGGATCCAAATGCACCATAGCTTTAAAGCAGGATCATGCCACTTTAAACAGTCATGGCTTCCCCCAAAGAATCCTGGGAAGTGTAGTCTTTCAGGGTGCTGAGAGTTTTAGGAGACCCCTTACTCCCCTCACTGAGTTACAATTCCCAGAGGTCCCTGGGAAACGGTTTTGGTTGTTAAACCACTTTGGGAATTGTAGCTCTCTAGGGGGAATAGGGGTGAACTGCCAACTCTCAGCACCCTTAACAAACTACAGTTCCCAGGATTCTTTGGGGGAAGTCATGATTCTTTGACTGTTTAAAGTGGCATGGTACTGCCTTAAAGGTATAATGCAGATGGGTGGAGTCTTGGTTTGTCCCTCTGGGGCAGGGGTTCTCAACCTGTGGGTCCCCAGATGTCGTTGGACTACCACTCCCATCATCCCTGAGCTCTGGCCTTGCTAGCTAGGGGTGTTGGGAGTTGTAGTTCAACAATATCTAGGGACCCACAGGTTGAGAAAGGCTGCTCTGGGGTTTCCATAGAGCCAGCAAACAAGCACAAGAAATCTCCAACTGTAACTAGATAATTAAGACTGTCCCTTTTACCAGCTGCCTAAATTCTGTGTTTCTGCAATACTACACTGTGCAGGATAGTTCTAGAGTAAATAATATTAGCTTCACATATCTTAAAGGTAAGATTTGTACTTTGATATGCAGGCCATCCCAGCGTACAGCTTACAAAACAGCATAGACCTTGGCTGCCTCCAAGTGCCGAGCCACCATTTTGCTTCAGGTTATTCCCAACCCGCCATTCCAAAACCACTGTTTTGTACTTGGCTGTGAATGTGGGGTGGGGAGGGAAGACTCAAGGATCAGGGCGGAGAAAAGACTAAAGCAGGGTTTCGCAAACTTGTGTCTCCAGCTGCTGTTGGACTACAACTCCCATCATCCCTAGCTAGCCGGACCAGTGGTTAGGGATCATGGGAACTGTAGTCCAACAACAGCTGGAGACACAAGTTTGTGAAACCCTGACCTACAGTTTCCCCCTTCTGCTCTAGACAAGGTGACACTCTATCTCCAAACTGGATTTGCTCTTGGTTATCACCTGCGCTGAGGTCTCGCTGAAAGCATTCTCAAACGCTGCAAGGACCGACGTCCTCAGCTTCTCCCTGAAGTCGTGCCCTACGAAGACATACAGGAAAGGGTTCAGGCAGCTGTTGACGTAGGCCAGACCTGAGGCCAAAGGTACCCCCACCACCAGAACGGTCTGCAGCCAGGGCGTTACTGTGGTGACCGACATCTCCAGGAAGGAGAAGACGTGATAGGGGAACCAGCAAATGAAGAAGGCCAAGACAACTGCCACCATGATCTTGAAGGGTCTGCCTGAGCGTGTGAGGCGGCTGCCCTTCAGCTTGGCCGTGATGATGCCGTAACAGAACAAGATGATGGTGAACGGCACCAGGAACCCAACCACGAAGCGGGTCATCACCATGGCTCGATGACGATCCTCTCCCAGCTTGGCAACCTCCTCCGAGTCCAGGTCATCCGACAAGGCAAAGTTGTTGTAGCAGTGGGTGGTATTCTCCTCGCTGGAAGAGCTCCCGGTGTCCCGGAAGAAAAAGTATGGGGAGCTGAGAGCCATGGCTGCTAACCAGATGCCCAACGCCACCATAGAAGCCAGCCGGGGCGTGCGGTAGTTCTGGGCCCAGACGGGACAAGCCACAGAGACGCAGCGGTCCATGCTGATGACAGTGAGTAGGAAGACGCTGGCAAACATGTTGAGGAAGGCCACGGTGGTGTTGAGCTTGCACAGAGCCTTCCCGAAGGGCCAATGGAAGCCGAGGGCCATGTAGGCCACACTCAGCGGGAGGAAGAAAGTGAAGACAAAGTCGGCCAAGGCCAAGTTGAGGAACCAGACAGTGTTGACAGTCCTCTTCATGCGGAAGCCAGTGACGAAGATAACCAGGCCGTTCCCTATCACCCCCAGCAGGAAGGCCACGCTGTAGAGCACCATGGAGAGCAGATGCATGGAGTCGCGGAGGCCGCTGTTGTCGTCAAAGTCAGGATAGTCCTCATAGTCTCCATAAAGGCTTTCTTGTGAGGTGGCATTGTCGGCCATTTTGGAGAAAGAGAACTTGAGCGAAATTGGGGTGAAGGGTGACCTGTGGGAAAAGGAACTATGGTTTGAAAGGAATGGAGTAACATTATACACATACTGTTTGTTGAATGAGTTGGGTTAAGAAAAAAAATGGCCAGGGCATAAGGGCTTAAAACAAGGCTGGAGAATCTGTGGCCCTCCAGGTCCAGTTGGACATGGATGCCCATCAGCCCTACCCACCATGCAAGGCACAGATTCCACACTCTTGACCTGAAATGATTTACTCAGGCTTGTAAATGCTAGCTGCTGACTGGGTTGTTTATAATGATCGACAATTACTTCCAGAGACTCGCACAAGGAAAATCCTTTCACCCCACCCTGTTAAGTCATTGATGACTCGTGTTGGCATATTTGTTTTACCCACAACACCATTTTTTGAGCCACTGCTATGGACTGCCGCCATATTTCTAGACTTTTTCAGCAGCCCTGAGGACTGGCAACTTGGGGGTTGCTTTTAAAAAGCCTACTGGCATCCTCAAGAAGCCAATTTTTCAATCAAGCATTAGACCATGTCCACATTTGCCCAGAATCCTGTAGGATATGCAATCTGCTTTATTACCTAACTTCTGAACAGGGATTGAAAATAAGGACAGAAACTACATACAACAGCCATGTGCAATTGGTCCTCAATGGGTTTTTATCTGCTTCTGCTTCTTTCTTTTTTTTACAAAATGCAGCCTCAGAGGAGGAACAGTTCTACATATTTGTTGGCAGCAAGATGCTGTAAGTGGCACCCCTCCCTGGACCTGCCCATTTCATTACTACTGCCCATTTATTTCACATCTCCTTTTAGGCAAAGCAAGTGGAAGCTAAGAAGGAAGAGAGGCGCTCAATTTTACCTAATTTGTGGTTCTCAATATGATACACCAGCAGCAGCCAGCAGCGTGCCCTCCAGATATTGTTGGATGACAACTCTCATTTAGCCACAGTCACCATGGTCACTTGTCAGTGATGACGGGCTTCGTATTACATTCAAAAATGTATTACAGTTGGGGAAATTGCTTGCAAAAACATGCATATTAGTCAAAATGTGTGAGTTTAGGACAAATCCACACGAAAACGCTTGAAAATTTTCATGAGGATTCTTTTTAAAAATCCAGAAATTGCTGCAGAAGAATGGTGAACTGAATTTAAGATTGGAAAAACAAGAGACTGAGTAACCTAAAAGGAGAGGTCTGCCCTATCTCTAGGGGAGGCTGTTTCCCCTTCTATCACAACTTCATGCTAAGAGGGGCACAGTCAACATGTCTCCACAGCAAGGCAGAGCAAGTCCTAGGGGCTCCAGGAGTTGGCAGCAACCCACTTCCTCGAGTATAAGCCTTGTTGGGTACCCAAGAATCCTGACCCTGGACCAGAGCTGTCAAGCGTCCCTTATTTGGTGGGAGAGTCCCTTATCCCAGCGCCATGTCCCGCTGCTGTCCCTTATTGATGAGGCTTCGTTTGGCTGCTGGCTGGGCTTTCTGCCTTTGGCTCAGAGGGGCTCAGAAGTTGAACATACCTGTGCCCGGAAAATCCCTTATTTTGGCTGCTGGTCCCTTATTTTCAAATCTGTAAGTTGGCAGGTATGCCCTGGACACTTGCTCTTCCCCAGAGGCTACAAACTCAAAATGGAAATCCTGCATCAGGGGAGGGGGGCGCTTTTAAACTCTTTCCACAGATGCCATTTTCCATTTTTTTAAAAGCCCACCTAAAAAAATGTTTTTGGCCCTGCAAGGAAAAGCTGCGGGTTCCTAACACATTTAACATTTTCAAAACTGTTTTTTTCTGTTTGCTCTTCCCAGTGTTTGGGATTTATCCAAAAGCTAGAGGATTTGGCGCAGATCCCAGAGAAGGAAGATGAAAAATGCCACAAGCAGCTATACACCGTTTAGCCACTAAGTGGAAGTAGAGATTTAAACTAGCAGCAAGTTTCTCTCCAACTTCTGCGACCTGCGAGTGCTGCACACCTTCCTAGCATCTGCCTTGCGCTTTCCAACAAAGCAGGGTATCGTGCCAGAACCAGTTTCACTTTCAGGAGAAAGATCCATAGGGAGCTGTAATTTTGTAAAGGTGCTGGCAATTATTTTCTCCAGAGTCTTAACCTTACAAGTCCTTGGGACTGAAATGAGATTGAAAGCAAGGCTCATTTGTAATTGGATACACTCCTTTCACCTAAAGCTATGTTCTTTGACTGAACTCTTCCTCTAACCCATGGGTAGGCAAACTAAGGCCCAGGGGCCCAATCGCCTTCTAAATCCAGCCCACGGACAGTCCGGGAATCAGCGTGTTTTTACATGAATAGAATGTGCCCTTTTATTTAAAATGCATCTCTGGGTTATTTGTGGGGCCTGCCTGGTGTTTTTACATGAGTAGAATGAGTGCTTTCATTTAAAATGCATCTCTAGGTTATTTGTGGGGCATAGGAATTCATTCATGTTTTCCCCTCAAAATATAGTCTGGTCCCCCACAAGGTCTGAGGGACAGTGGACCGCCCCCCTGCTGAAAAAGTTTGCTGACCCCTGCTCTAACCTATGGATGGGGTAATGTGGGACTTACAGCTCCCATCAGCCCCAGTCAAAGCAGCAGAACAGGACAGGGCTCCTGTTCCTTTAATACTTGTGTTGATGGGGGAGCTTCAGCAAGTGTATCTCCGTAAGCACTACTCTTAAAGGGGCAGGAGCTGTGTCCCATTCATTTATTTCAGCTAAGGTTGGGCAAATTGATCAATTTCAGGTTTTTTGTTGTTTCCAAAATTCTGTTCTCCACATTTCCACGTCAGTTCACGAATTTCCGTTTTCGAGGCGAACCCTCAGAAAAATTTGCCAAAATTTTAGTGCGGATTTCTCCTAATACACACCATTTGTATGCAATTTTGACTAATGCATGAATTTTTGCAAAGCAATTCCCCCCCCCCCATAGAATGCAGTACACTTTACCCCAACATTGGCATCTTTACAGACATTACTTGGCTGCAGAACTCCACTGCAAAATTCAGAAAAGTACACATTTAGTCACTTCCGTGATTTTTCTTTTTAGAGCTTTGGCAGGCACATGTGCTGCCCGCGAGTAATTTTTTTGTTGCCGCAGACGCCCTTAGGTTGGTCTGGTTGCTATGAGTCTGGCTCTCAATCCAAAGCCCTTCCTTAAACAGGCTGGTGGTGAAGCTTAAGTGGGGGGTGGAATACAAAGGCTACCTCACGTCCGTTGATGGCTACATAAACATGCAGCTTGCAAATACAGAAGAATATATTCTTCTTCTGGACACCTTGGTGAAGTTCTGATAAGGTGCAATAATGTCCTTTATATAAGGGGAGGAGAAGAAGAAGAAGAAGAAGAAGAAGAAGAAGAAGAAGAAGAAGAAGAAGAAGAAATAATGAGAGAATAACTATTTTGGGGGGGAAGTTGTTGTTTTTTAAGAAATTTAGTTGTCCGGTTTTGTTGGTTTGCTTTTCAAAGATTTTGTCAAGTAACATTTTTTATGGCCAAAAAATAAACATTGTCACTGAAGAAAAATTACCACTATGGAAGAAAAATAAACATACTATTTCTGACAGTTAAGAAAAGAAAAGAAAAGAAAAGAAAAGAAAAGAAAAGAAAGAAGGAAGGAAAGAAAGAAAGAAAGAAAGAAAGAAAGAAAGAAAGAAAGAAAGAAAGAAAAGTACACATTTCAAAGGATGGCTGTGTTTCAGTTCGCTTATTGTTTCAGAAAGTGCTAATTAGGTGGGTACACCTTTACAGTTCAACTGAGTCAAATCTCACCTCCACCCCTAGTTTCAACGGGGCTTGCTGAAAACTTCAATGTGCATAGATTTTCCTCTGGAAAAAAAGGACAAGAACAGCAGAGGAACACTCGGTTCAGAGCCACAGCCCCCAAAATATCATCTTTTAGCCGCAGCAAAAGGATTTGTTTTGCACATGTCTTGCAGGACTTCACATTTCTTTTTCTTTCTTTCTTTTTTTGGTCTGTTAGCACACCAGATGCTGTGCAATTAGAAACTTTCCTTTGGCCAAGTCCAAAACTGCACTGCATCTGTCGTGGTTGGGGTGTTCTATGGATTGCATAGTCCAAGTGATCATTTTGCAAGGTTCTGGCCAAATTTATTTTATTCATATGTTTATTTAAAATATTTTTAGGATGCCTTTCTGGGCAAATGCCTGTCCAAAGTGGCTTAAAGACAAAAGCAACAACAGAGGAATAGAATAATAATAACACAAAAAGATGCCCTAGTTCTAGGTATTGGAAGGTTTGAAGAACTGGTGGGTCAGAGAAAGAGGAGAGGGAAAATAGGGCAGGGCAACATCCAAAGATGATCATGTAAGGGTTGTAAACATGGTGCCCACTGTAGAATCATAGAACTGCAGAGTTGGAAGGGACCACGAGGGACATCTAGTCCAACCCCTGCAATGCAGAAATATTTTGCCCAACATGGGGCTCGAACCCATAACCCAGAGATTAAGCGTCTCATGCTATACCAACTGAGCTATCCCATATACTGGGGTTGGGTAGGGCAGATGTCGCGGACTCCAACTTCCATCATCCCTGATCATTGGCTGGGCAGGTTGGGGCTGATGGGAGTCACAGCCCAGAATCTTTGGAGGGTACTGGCAACCCCTGCTGTTATCCATCTATGTCCCTGGAAGAATGCTCATAGCTACAGGGTTGCACCATCAAGAAAAAGAAGCCAGCAGGTGTGGTTTGCCCTGCCCTACAGAAATGAACAGAATTATAGCAGAGGCAGACAGAGTTAGGATGATCGGATATCCTACTTTACAAATGACAGTCCTCTATTGAAACCAGGCCAAGTCTGGTTGAAAGATACAGTAATGGGTTGTCCCCAACTGAGTTCTAATCAGAGTAGACCCCATGGAATGAATGGGCCTAAGTTCTTGGGGGGTTTTTTGTGGAGGGGGAGAAGGGAGGGAGGGGGCTTAATGAAATCTGCAATGTCCTAGTGCCAACTTCGTACAATTTTGGCCAAACCACATACCCGTTTGCCTTCTAAGAAGAGTTGCAAAGGGGGCAGGCACCACGAAACCTAAGGGGGGTTGAGTTGCCCTGCTACCTCCCTCTCACCCACCCACCTACCCATGTTACAACACCAATTGAATCCTCCTTCTCAGTCCCTTATTTGACCCGGAGCTATATGGGTAGCCTGAGCAAAATAAGGACGATGATTTCAAATGATTATCACCTTTCACCCTACAGGTCCGGAATGGATTGGAACAATTTTTAAATACAGGTAGCTCACAACTTACGGACATTTTACTCGCACGCATTCAGCTTTACACTCTTGGCAAAAGAAAAAGTTAAAAGGGGGATGGAAAGGGGCTGAATGTTCAGAGGGGCTGCTGCAAAGAATGCCCCATCGTGAGCCATCATCCTTCGAACTCCTGAGATCAGTGGAATGTGAGCACCTTAAATTGGGCCCAGAAGCAAACTGGAAACCAAGGCACCTGTTTCGAAACAGCAGCTAGTCACTGCATTTTGGGCCACTTGAAGTTTCCAAGTAATCTTCAAGGGCAGCTCACATAGAGATTTGCGGCACTCCAAGTCTGAGCAGCTTGAATAAGGGACTGTGGAACTTCAAGACTCTCATGCAGCACTGGGGTGAATAAGAAACTGGGAACGAGGAGCCAATACTAGCCTCACGGGGCAAAATGAGGGGGACGTGCAAAGTGGTTTGGCAATCACAATTCAATTGTGCCACATTATGGCACTCAAAAGTGGGAGGCATGTCAATAACACTAAATGCGTCTGTTACGCTTTAATTTCCCCCCACAGATTTTTTTTATTTTTAGAGTAGATTTAAAAAAAAAAAAATGCATTCTGCTTCCACAAAGCAAACCTACATTTATTTTGCATTCAGAAAAATTACAGGCAAACAGCATCAATAATAGACTTCCGACTTATTACAGACGGAGCTTATGAAATGCAACTGTGCCAGCCCCTAGAGCAGAGATGGGGAAGCTGTGCCCACCCCCCCAGACCTTTTTGGACTGCATCCCCCATCATCCCTGACCACACTGGCTGCAACTGATTGGAGTCCAGTAACACATGAAAGGTCACAGCTTCCCCACTCCTGCACTAGAATCTCAGGCTATGGCCAGGAAGACCTGGGTTTAGCATTGTATGAATCTCACTAAGGGACCCTGACTTGGTCAACTTGCACTTTCCGCCAAACCTCCCTCGCAGGGTTGTTGTGAAGGTAATAAGGGAGGGAGCTGTGTGCTGCCAACTTGCAGTGCCCCCACAAACCACAGACTGCTCTCAAGTCAGATCCCACTTCCCTGCCTTCTTAGGTAAAGGGACCCCTGACCGTTAGGTCCAGTCGTGGACGACTCTGGGGTTGCAGCGCTCATCTCGCTTTATTGGCCGAGGGAGCGGGCGTACAGCTTCCGGGTCATGTGGCCAGCATGACTAAGCCGCTTCTGGAGAACCAGAGCAGCACACGGAAACGCTGTTTACCTTCCCACCAGAGCGGTACCTATTTATCTACTTGCACTTTGACGTGCTTTCAAACTGCTAGGTGGGCAGGAGCAGGGACTGAGCAACGGGAGCTCACCCCATCGTGGGGATTCGAACCGCCGACCTTCTGATCGGCAAGCCCTAGGCTCTGTGGTTTAGACCACAGCGCCCCCCATGTCCCTGCCTTCTTATCTACACCCAATCTAGGGGGTGGCATTGCCGGCCAGCTTCCTCCCCCTTAGCCTCAGTGTTGTCCAGTGTTTTGCACCTCAGCATGGAAGAGGATGGAGATGAAAAGTAGAATTAATTGGCTCCACCAGCCATTAGCTCTGGCTCCACCTACTGTTAGGCTTCTGTTTCCGGCCCTGCCATTCTCCAGTGCACACCACCCACCACTGCATGATGCAATGAGAAGGAAGGAACAAACAAACAAAGGAGGTGCAATAACAATCTATAAACTTTCTGAATGGGTGTTCAAATCCTACATACCACCCCACCAACGATGTTACCGAAGGGAAATTATATCAGCCTTACCTTTGACCCCTTATCTCCCTAAATCTTTCTGCTTTTCTCGCCTTCCTGGCCTCCGTACCTCTGGTTCTGGGGCTCTTCGGGGACCTTCTGTCTGTCTCTGAGCTCTCTGAGAGCCGCTGGTCCCTTGCAGGCTAGAGAGACTCACAGGTTGGGTGTGTGCATTCCTAGGGAGATGGAGAGTCCGGACGTGTGGCTTGAGGGATCGTCCATTACCCGCAAACCATTGCTCAATCACATTACTTTGGCAGCCTGCAGAGAGCTGGCACTGGGATTGCAGCAGGGGCAGGCTTAACCCTTTAACCCCTGAGCTAAACAACGGCTCGGCGCAGCACTGACGTTCCTCACAGCCCACCTCAAACATACCACGCCGGTATATGGGAAAGTCTCGGCACTCCAGAACAGGAGCTAGTATTATATCAATCATCCAGCCCAGTTAATTGCTTCCAGAGGGTGAGGTGAGCTAGAGGTCATAGCCCATACCTAGCATAAAGATCCCTTCCCAAACGATCACCTTGCAGGCAGAGGTCCCAGAGCAAAACTCAGACTTGTTTGGTTGGGAGAGCTCCGTTCTCAACTTCAGCTTGCAAAAACAGAGTAAATTTCAAAAGTAAAAAAAATAAAAGCAGTGTTAGGGTTATTGAATGGATTTTCATATGTACTGGATTGATCTCAAGGAGTTTGCTTGTGCGTGTTAGGACTTCCTCTGTGTCAAAGTTTGGCATGGCTTAGTTTCAACTTAATAAAAGGTATGTGTTATATACTAAGCTTGGATCATAGAACAAAAGGCAAGTAGGATCCTAGAATGCAACAACTGATTGGCCTGCAGGAAAAGACCAATCAGGCTCCAGGAGGGAAGCAGAATCAGCCAAGCAGAAGGGACTCATTGTGTAAATAATGTATATAAAAGCCTGAGGTTTGGGGGGCAATTCAATCACTGTTTTACAAGGTGCAATAAAGAGCATGAAATCACTACAGGACTTCAAGTATATTTCAGTATGTGTCCTACCGAAGGAGGGAGGTAGACCAGGGCAACAGACAGTTCTTGGGTTTCTAAAGATGATGACTCATGCTTCTTCCTCCCAGAAGGTCTTGGCACAAACTGATCCCACACATCACCTAACAGAATGCCTACTATCCATTCCCACATTCTGCCTTGAAGGCACTTACCAGTTACAGGCTCAGGCGTTATCATCAGCCTCGTTTCTTCTCTCTATTTTCCCTCCATTGTTGACCATCTAGCATAGCAGTGGGGAGCCTCCAACCCACGGTCTGAATTAGGCCCACAAGGCCATTTGCCCCAAATGACACTCGCCTGCCCCATACCTAGGAATGGGGGTGAAGTTCAGTTCACATTTAAAGTCAATGCTACCTAATTCACACTTTCTGAAATGCCAACCCAAACCCAACCATCCTTCAGAAGTCGCCCTTCTCCGAATTTTGCAATGCAGTTCACCAGCCAGGAAACAGGGAAGAAGAAGAAGAAGAAGAAGAAGAAGAAGAAGAAGAAGAAGAAGAAAGAAGAAGAAGATACTGGGGTAAAGAGTGCATTAAAATATTGGTGAAAATGGCCAAAGAAATGCATTGTATTAGGGGAAGCTGCTTTGCAAAGATGTGTCCATTAGGGGAAATGCACTCCAAAATGCTGACAAATATTTATTTTAAAAAATATATATTTAAAAACGCCAACAGATTTGGGAAAATGTGGAGAAATGAAGTTAAAATTGGAAGGATGAGAAAGTGAAATTGATAGGCCTGCCTATCACTACCCACAACTGATCTTAAAGGGAACCTTCAAATGTACCAATCCCTGCCTAAAGTGAGATAGATATATAGATATGTAGGTATATAGATATATAGATATATATCAGCAGATTGGTGCTAAATACAACCCCTGCTGGAATCAAGACCCCCTGAGTGCAGCCAGATCCTGTAGAAAGTGGGAAACGCAATCAGTGCCAATCAGTTGAACAGCACTTGACTGCAGCTCCCATTGTGATGGACTGCAGGGATCGTCCTTTGAAGCTCCGTATGAGTTCAGGCTGGTCTGCAAAGAAAGGAATCGGGAGCACACTTGGAATATTCTCCCAACTCTTGCCTTTGAAGCCGGTCCTCCTGACGTCATGGTGGCCCACGAGGGTGGGGCTGCTCAGAATCTACCCTGCCAGCTGGATCTTTTCTTTCGCCCCTGACGCAGAACTCTCCTGGAGTTCTATCTTTTTGACTGTATTTTGGCTGGCCTAATAGAAGCATTGCTCTAATATGGGTTTTGGGATTTTACTTGCAGCCAAATGCAAACAGGTGGTTGAATAATAATCAGTCTTATTACGCTTCCATGTCAGTTTTGCATGTGTCAGTTTCCACCCTGTTTTTGCATTAACCTGCCATTAAAAAAACCAACATATCAATACAAAGCTTCATATTTAAATGCAGCCCTGACTGTTTAAAGAGGAATGATACTGCTTTAAATGTATAGTGCAGATGAGTAGTAGTAATAATAATAATAATAATAATTTATTTATACCCCACCCATCTGGCTGGGTTTCCCCAGCCACTCTGGGTGGCTTCCAACAAAATATTAAAATACAATAGTCTGTCAAACATTAAAAGCTTCCCTAAACAGGGCATCCCTCCTAATATGCACATTTTTAATGCACTTTTTCCTAATGTTCACCTTTTTTGCAAACTATTTCCCCTAATGGAAATGGTTTTGATGTATAAATTTTTTAAATTGCTTTAATTACGAGATTGTTTTACACATGTTTTACTCTTGGCATTTTTACAGCTAAATCACTTTGGGATGTTTCATAGGAAGTGATTCACAAATGGAATGCAATAATATAATGCTTTCATGGATGTTTCCTCTATTGATAAATACATTTCCATGCACAATTGACTCTGACCTGCTCATTCTTATACACATTCTCTTGGGTAGAGATCTGCGTCACAAAAGTTTGAATTTTGCAGGGCATTAAAATTCAAGCCAAACTGAATTCCTTCCCTATCTCTAGTATGTTCCCAGCTGAAACAAAATTGCTTATGCTAGTGGCCAAATGATGGGCATAACACTTGCAGTGGAGACACCTGGGCAACTGCAATAGCTACTTTTGTAATGAAGCAGGCAATCCTATAGACAAGAAGCTGGTGTAAGTTAAGCAGGCATAAAGTACATCAGTTCAAAACTCCATTCACTGCTAGGTGAACCCCCCTAAGCCTGGCAGAGGGAAAACAAGCCTTCAAAATAGTGTTAGAGTTACACCACCTTTTCATTGGCTTAGCAAGTCATGTGACTGAGCTAAACAGGTTCAGGATCCAGCCTAAGTCCCTCCTCTCTGGTCCCAAAATGCCATGACCCTGCAACACCCCCTTTTCATGGCTTAGATGGGGAATATATGTTGGTGCATCTCCAGTCAAGCTGAGGGTGGGGCACTAATGCTAGCATAGCCCAGCTGCACAGGAAGATCCCAGCTCTGCTGGAGATCCATGGGATCCTCACCCCACTCATCCTAGTGGATCTTGCTGTAAGATTGGTGCATGCTCTAGTTATCTCCTGCTTGGACTACTACTGCAATGCGCTCTACAGGGGGCTACCTTTGAAGGTGACCCAGAAACTGCAACTAATCCAGAATGAGGCAGCCAGACTGGTGACTGGGAGTGGCCGCTGAGACCATATAACACTGGTCCTAAAAGATCTTCACTGGTTCCCAGTACGTTTCCGAGCAGAAGTCAAAGTGTTGGTGCTGACCTTTGAAGCCCTAAACGGCCTCGGCCCAGTATACCTGAAGAAGCGTCTCCACCCCCATCATTCAGCCCAGACACTGAGGTCCAGCTATGAGGGCCTTCTGGCAGTACCCTCAGTGCGAGAAGTGAGGTTACAGGCAACCAGGCAGAGGGCCTTCTTGGTAGTGGCACCCATCTTGTGGAACGCCCTCCCATCAGATGTCAAGGAAATAAACAACTACAGTGGTACCTCGGGTTAAGAACTTAATTTGTTCCAGAGGTCCGTTCTTAACCTGAAACTGTTCTTAACCTGAGGTACCACTTTGGCTAATGGGGCCTCCTGCTGCTGCCGCGCCGCTGGCGCACGATTTCTGTTCTCATCCTGAAGCAAAGTTCTTAACCCAAGGTACTACTTCCGGGTTAGCAGAGTCTGTAACCTGAAGCGTCTGTAACCCAAGGTACCACTGTATCTGACTTTTAGAAGACACCTGAAGGCAGCCCTGTTTAGGAAAGTTTTTAATGTTTGATGTTTTATTGTGCTTTTAATATTCTGTTGGGAGCTGCCCAGAGTGGCTGGAGAGGCCCAGCCAGATGGGTGGGGTTTAAGTATTATTATTATTATTATTATTATTATTATTATTTATTATTATTATTATTATCAAGATTGCTCCCTTGGGGGGGAAATCACAAGATTTCTTTTTCTAGAAACAGGTGTACATGTCCTCTCCTCCTCCAAATTTATACATTAAAATAAAATGAAAGGGGAGAAAACCTTCCAAAATGGTAATTTTAGCATCAACTTCCCGAAAATGCCATGCACGATTCTTGGGCTCTTATCCCCGGCCCCAGGAAGACAGCAACGCCTGGCAGTTAGAGCTGGGGCTGGTTGCCAGGACACGGGCCCACTCACAAACAAGGCAAACAGAGCAGCCACAAGCTCAGAGCATTTCTGACCACAAGCCACAGCTGTGACAAAGCCAGGCTTCCCATGGGCAAAGTGGCAAGCAACACCCATTTGAGGCTCCGTGGCCAGAATGGCTCAAGCATTACGATCAGTTGTGGGGTTGCTGGTTTTTTTTGTTTTGTTTTGTTTAAGTGGGGGAAAATCCATCATTAAGAAAATAAAGCCCAGACATATATAACCTCCCGCAATTTGCTGTGCCCAAGGAAGTTCCCGGACGTTCAGAATCAGCCCTGCACTCTAGGATAAACAGTGAAGCCACCAGCTACTTACTGAGTTCTCATCCCCAAGCCCAGACAGATGGATTTTCACTAGGGAATCAGAGGGTGGCAGATGGGTAACAGAGAGTCATCCCAAACTAATATTGTTCTAACCCAGTTTATCGGGGATGTTGTGGGACCTCAAGGAATGGAAAGGGGGGGAGCTGGGAGATGAGCAGAGGAGAGCAATAGCTGAGGGTGGGAAAGGACAAGAGAGCTACCCTTCAAAGACAGTGTGGAGTAGTGGTTAGAGTGCTGGGCTAAGATCTGAGAGATCAGGGTTCAAATCCCCACTCAGCCCCAAAGCGCGCTGGGTGACTTTCAGACGGTCACTGTCTCTCAGCCTAGCCTGCCTCACAAGGTTGTGAAGATAGAATGGAAAGGAGGGAAAACCAAATTTGCCTCGTTGAGAAAAGGGGGGCGGGGATATAAATGTAATGATTATTTTTTTTAAAGGCATTTTGACGTTCTCTGCAAGTCTGAAAAAGCTGCTACCCCATAACAATTATTAGGTCAGTCGGCCATAATTATAATACATGATGACATCACTGAAAGCATTCCATTGATTAATTCATATTGGGATGCCTGCTAATTGCTTCTTAGCCCCTCCATGTCTTATATTCTGTATTGCACAGCACCGTCCCAGTGTAATACTTTCCTTACTTCCTGTCTCGTTTAAAATAAATTTTTAGACGTTTATTTATTTACTTGTTGAAAAGTCTAAAAGGACAAAGAGCCGTCTTTGAGCATCGAAAAGCTTCCCTGAGGGGTCGCCCAGAGGCACATCTCACTCGCCATAGGTGAGCTGCTGCTGCTGACATACCTGTTTTAAAGGCATCGCAGACAGGTGCAGACTGGGCTTGCATTGCAGGCTTCAGGGGGAAATTGAAGCAGTGGTTGGAGAAAGCAAGCATTTGCCCAGATTCCAGGGATTAATCTGGGTGAGTCTGTTAAGCAAAATAACAAATACAAACGAGTCCCCTAGCACATTAAGAGATTAACGAAAGCATTTCAGCCAAAAACTTTATGTGGACCGTTGCCCACTTCACCAGATGTATCAAGTGTGACTCTCGGTTGATGCACACACAGAAGAAGGTTATTGCGCAGCGAGACCAGATGGCCCAGCGGAGTAAGAGAGCAGACCTTTAACTCTTCTCGCTGGACCGCCTTTTCATTTGTGTGCCGTGTAGGGATGTGACTTTTGCATCCTCTCTTTCTGGCCTCGCTTCGCAATAACGTTTTCCCTGGCAAGCCCGCGTTTCCTCTGCCTGTTTGGCCACGTCTGCCAAACCTGATGCCATAATAAATTTGGCGGCTTTCAAACATTTTCCAACTTCAGGTGGGCCTTCATGGGAGGAGTAGCATTACCAGGTCCTTACCTGAAGGCCATCCTATAATTCTTTTCCAGGAGGGATGAAAACTACGTATTCTTTTTGCAAACAGCTTTGAGTTGTTTCTTATGATCAAGCAGTACAGACCCTCCAATTGTCCCTATTTTCCAGGGACGTCCCTGATTTAGAGAAGCCGTCCTGGTTTCTGATTTGACCCTGGAATATCCTGCTTTTCCTTAGCACATCTCTACTTTCATTGGAGAAATGTTGGAGGGTATGGAGTTATCCAACCCCCGAACTGTCTGAAGGCAATTCTGTATAGGGAATATTTTTTTTAAAAAAAAATATTTCATGTTTTATTATGTTTTTATATGTACTGGAAGCTGCCCAGAGGGGCTGGGGCAACCCAGTAAGATGTGTGAGGTATAAATATTAAAATTATCGTCGTGGAATGGGAGAAATGTTGGAGGGTATGGCAGTATATAAATAAATAAATAAATAAATACCTTATTTGCCGAGTGAGGCCATAGGGTACCCCACCACCACAACGACCACCACTTCCTGAATACCTGGTCTGGACTCCACAAAAGTTGTTTTTGCTGCTGCAGTGAGAAAACCAAAGTCTCTATGCTGCCATTACTGGCACAAACCATAATTAGAGGGCTTTAGTGCTGAGAAGGCAGAAGGCAGGGAAACAAAAACATGAAAATAAACCAGTCCTCCCCCTTCGCTGCTGACAACCCCAAATGCAAACCTCTTGCAAGCACCACTTCCTCAGACAGTGTCCCTGTGTTCAAGCGGGCCTGATCCCCAGGTAGGCATTACTTAGGTATTCAGCCTGCTGCTGCAGTCCTGTACCCACTTACCTGAAAGCAAACTCTGGAGAAATCAATGGGTCTTCCTTCTGAGAAGACACGCATAAGATTGCATGGTTAGCGTGCTATATTCCAACAAGTCTCAGGGAGGCGACAGCCCAGACAGCAGCATAAATGCCAACCTCCCTTAGCTCAACTGTACAGCGATGGTTATTTATATGACTGTTTTTCCAGATTTCTGCAAGCTGCAGTTGGCTCCCTCCCTGCAAATTAAAACTGAAGGCACACTTTGGTCTTACACCTGTAACAGTTTTCATTGCCCAGGGGGTTGAACAATGAACCCCACCTGCTTGCAGGGGACACCTGCCCCCCATATTGCTGCATGACTCATTGGAACGGGTGTGTCTCCTCTGAGGTTTAAACTACGTATTACAGAGAGTTCTGTGATTCTTTACTTCTTTCTTTAACCCCCAACAGGCCAGGGCAGACTGTGTCTGAGTTGAAGGATGGAGAGACATGGAACAGAGAAAGCTCATAGCTTGGGAATTATTTCTGTTAGGCAATTTATGGCGCAGCAAAGTGTTTGGCAATGGTCTGCAATCACTATGCCCTGAAGACAGGCCATTCTCTAGTACCTGCTAACAAGAGGCAAGACCTGATCCTGACTCAGCCTGCTGGCTCAGGTGCCTTCATTGTGAAGTTGGTGTATTCCCTGGCATGGTATATATTCTCTGTAATGCTGATAGCTGTATTTAATAGTTCAGCCCAGATACTAAGGTCCAGCTCCGAGGGCCTTCTGGCAGTTTCCTACCTGCGAGAAGTGAGGTTACAGGGAACTAGGCAGAGGGCCTTCTTGGTAGTGGCACCCACCCTGTGGAATGCCCTCCCATCAGATGTCAATGAAATAAACAACTATCTGACTAACAAAGACATCTGAAGGCAGCCCTGTTTAGGGAGTTTTTTAATGTTTTAAGTTTTATTCTGTTTTTAGTCCTTTGTTGGGAGCCGCCCAAAGTGGCTCAGGAAACCCAGCCAGGTGGGCGGGTTGTTGTTGTTGTTGTTGTTGTTGATTATTATTATTATTATTATTATTATTATGTTGAATTGCCAGTGACTTTGTATGTTTATGGGGCGGGATGGAGGAGATTTTTTTGAGTTTGCGGATTTCATCAGCATGCTCTTCTAAAATATATATGCTGTTTTATGCAAGTCGCTTCCGGGTGCACTTGTTTCTGTTGATCAAGCAATCAATTTTGTTAAATAAAATAAACAAATAATAGAGAAGAGGGTGGAACTTTGGAAGGAAACCTTGGGGTGAGAATAGCGGTGCTGCAAAGCCTGCCCATATTTTCATTTGTGGAACATCAGAGGCATGCCTTAGGGCCGGATGACACATTTCCTGAGCTGCAGCAACAAGTCCTCACAGCCTAAGAGGAGGGGAGGATGTGGTTGACCCCAAACTGGCTATGGCTGAACATCAAGGGCCTGAGGAGTTCCAGCAGGGCTCACCCTGGATCCAACTCAGCTTGCAGCGATGCTGCTGTGTCTCAGCCTCTTCCTCCCTCGCTCCCTCTCTCACACGCTTGCCAATACTAACCGCTAAGTCTTACTAACCTGAACTTGCTGCCTGGAAGCAGAAATTTAGTCCAAGCAGATTCAGGACCGTGGCCACATTCACACCATGCATTTAGAAGACTATGATACCACTTCAAAGAGTCATGGCTTCCTGCAAAGGATTCTGGGAGCTGTGCTTAAGAGTCGTTGAAAGACTTCATCTGCCATTCTTCTCTGGTCGGAACTTTATCTTCTTTCCAGATGAAGTTAATAGACTATGCTAAAATGGCTAAAATGACCGGAAGAGTCAGAAATCAGGAAGACCACAATTTTAACAAGGAGTGGGGAAAATTTATAACTTACCTTCAGTTGAAATCCTTAGTAGGACTGGAGTATCACTTGTAGTTTAAGGGTCGATTTTGGACACAATGGAGATGTAAAAGATTTGGATCATCGTAAAAGATGTGGGAGGATATGATTAAAAATAGGACCCACAAAGGGGAAGATGGAAGTCCAGGAGATTCCTTGGAATCTTGTTTTTACGATTTATGTTTGATATATCTCTGTAAAATTTTCATTTGAAAATTTCATTTGAATATATATATATATATATATAGACACACACACACACACACACATATATACATACACACACACACGTTGCTGGGAGATGCCTATTTATCCTAAAATGCACATTTTAATATGAGTTTTGGAACAGAGGTTTTTTGCTTTTGAATTTTTTAAGTCGAGAACTTCTATCAAAAAATTCGCACTAGTACAAAATCCAAAGGATAAATACATTGCAATCCGCATATTATTCCTAGAAATGTGGATCAGATCATCTCACATCAGAATTCCCAGAAATCAAATTCCTCCAGCGTCCTTACTTCCAGATAAACATGGATGAGATCCAGTCAGATACAACTCACTATGTGTTGAATGTTGCTATCACAGAATAGAAAAATACAAGTGCTCAGGGATTCTTTTGGCTGGGGTGAGGGATCCCCTGTGGACAGGAGATAGGGCACACACCCAGGAGCCCTTTGCCATATGACTAAATGCCTTATTCCTTGGGAAAATATTGCTTAATTATCAGTGCCGGGATGTTGCAGCGGCAGAGCCATGATTAGGATCTCAGCGTGGACACACACAATTACAGCAGAGATGAGGAGAGCAATTTAAACTTTTTCCCAGTGAAAATCACACCACACCACAGCTTCTATTTGCCACAATGACAAAGCCAACACAGGGCAAATAGTAGCTGCGGGAGGATGGCATTTTCATAAAGAAAATGAAAATGAGATAAGTGCCCTTTTCTAGCATGGTGGTCCTGATTGAAATCACTACCCCAGCCCTAATGTTAACTGGAGTGTTTTTTTTGGGTTTTTAGTGGGAGATCCTATTCATTAATTGTTAGCTTCATGTCCAAAGAATAGTTCTGTTCTGCTCCATCTTGTTTTGCATCTGCTCATCCTATCCACAAATGAGGAGTTCCTTAGCACTGATTTTTAATATGCAATCCTGGGCTAGGATACAACTGTGCCGCTCAGTCATTGCGTGACCTCAGAAGACTTCTTCTCTCTCCTCCACTGTTTTCTCCAGATGTTTGTTTCTACACTCCTTCCTTTCTTCCTTTCTTCCCCTTGGCCTTTCCCCCCACCCCACAAATCTCTTCAAATAACTCTCCTCTGAAAGCGGCTGCACCTCACAGGGTTACACCTGATTGCTGTGTCTTGCTGCCAGCTGAAAACACCAAAGCAGTAAAGTTTCCTGCAGCATAATATTACGTTTGTACTATACAGAACGAAACCCCTGAAAATGGAATTTTTGTAAATGGCCGTCAGGTGGCAGTCAAAGCTTAAACTGGACAAGTTTTCTGCGCTGTTCTGACTACTGAATTCATAGCCCCGAGGCAAGGGGTGAAGAATTGAGGCTGGGGAGGGAGTCGAAGAGTCAGGACTCCTGGGTCCTGAGATTCCTGGCTGTTCAAAAGAAACAGGATTCGAGCCTTGCAGGGAAAGAAAGTAGCCTGTGGGCCTTTGGCAGTGGTTCAACACCAGGTTTCCATGGCAACTGAAGACCATGGCAGGCCTCGGATATTTCAGACCCTGCCTCATTTTGACTTCATTTCTAAGTAAGGCAGCAACCTGTTTCTGGGTCTCGAGT